AATGGGTTTGTCTGTACCATACATTCTGCTAAGCAATAGAAGGGGACAGGTTTTCAGCTTGGATGTGCCCCAGTGCAGCGATGCCAGGCTAGCGTGCTGCGTGCCTCTACGTGTGCGCCTCTCATGGTATGTCATTATGGGTCTGGCAAGCAGACGGATGCTTGGGGATGAAGGCTGTGGTGTAAAGGTAAGATGGGGGTCTGAGGTGGTCCACATGAGCATCTCCAGTATAGTGGTTACAGAAGGCTGCACACATCATAAGAGTGTGTAGGGCACGTGCACGCCTATGTGTGACTAGTGACATCCGATTGGGCTCTGCATATTGTGCTGAGGTTAATTTCTTGCTTGTAATATCATGCCATAATTATAAGATGTTAGCAGTGGAGGAGGCTCCTGATGTACATTTTTTGCTTGTTTTTGGTGTGAGGAAACGTGGGCAGTACCACAAAGCTACTGCCCCAGCCTGGGATGTACAGTTTTTAAAGAACATGCTCTGAACCTATAATTAATTCAAGATAAAAAGCTCTAAAAATGGGAATATTGTAATTTAGTGTGGTTCAACCTAATAGAAAAAAACTAAACCCTGATGAGTATACACTGAAATGCTAGTTGTGGTCATCCATTTGTGGTGATTTCAAAGGGATCTTCATTGAACTATGTATGCTTTTTTGTGGTTACAATTTTTCCACAATGTACATGCATTGTTTGTATATCAGAAAAAATTATTGTCATCAGAAGCATGAAAAATTAAAGTTTCACTTTTTAAACTGTTGTAAAGATAGAATTTAGTGTGTGGGGTTTAGTAGTCCCGTAATTTGACGGCTTATTTGTAGTTAAGTTTTTAATCAAAACACTTTGGAATATTCATTAGAAATTTATACACATTTCATAATTCTCCTTTGCCCGTGTCACATGGACTTGAACTTTGCAGAATTCATATTCCCTAATTCAGTATAAAACATCAGATTGTTTAAATTATAGATGTTAAAGTTTGTCCTTAGTCTTATTTCTCATGAATGAGAGAAATGTTCTCAAATCTTTAATGTGGAGACTATCATAATTTTTCTCAACTCATATTTAGTTGAATGTTCTCATGTTACATTTTATTTATTTATGTATTGCGGTACCGGGGATTGAACTCAGGACCCTGCACTTGCCAGGCAAGCAAGCGCTTATTCTACTGAGCTGTCTTCCCAGCCCTACATTTTACATTAAGGATATTTTCATTAACTCCTTCGGCAGTGAGGCCGGCTCTCTTCTCCCACTCCCCACCAGCCTGTCGTCGTCTCTTCCCACTCATCAGCGCTGCTGAAATGTGTGGTCACAGGACAGGTGGAGCTCTTAAATGAGCAAGGTGGATTTTATTTTTGTAAATTTCCTGTAATTGTGCCACACTTCACAGCTAGAGCACTCTTGTAAGTCACATGGCCACGGGGAGTCTCTTGGCTTCTGAGCAGCCGTTAGTTTTAAACACTCTCCTTCGTGTGCTTTTTCAGTATCACCCTGAATGAGTAGCTGGTTCATTGTAATCGCTCAGTTCTCAGGGAGCCTGGCTTAGCTAGCAGTCAGCACTGAGGTTGAAGAAGAAAGCCACCATGGAGAGACTGCAGTAACCAGGGAGCAACCTGTGTTAAAACTTCAAACAGTGATACTTTGTTCTTTGTTTGGTTTTTTGACAGCCATTTTAAATTCTTTAATCCAGGCCATCCCCACCCATGGAAGATTAAAGGCATGACTGAACTTTATCCTAATGTAGAAAACAATTAAGATAAAAATCTTGGACCAATAATTCAGAAACATGAAATAATCAAAAATAACAGGTCTTAAGAAACATGAAATATTTTCAGGTTCTTATATAGGAAATCTTCATTCAGTTAAAACAAGTATTTAATTAAAACTCTTGATGATTCCTACATTGATCTGTGGTTTTGAACTGCTTATTCTGGAATTATTTTTTAAAAGCAGATTAATTGAACTGTGAAGTGTTTGAAGCACGCTTAAGAGGTTTTAGGGTCGACTTACTCTAATGCTCTGTGCAGTCATAAAGCATTTGAACAGTGAACCAAATGGAAAGCCATCCTCTTGAGTTGTTCTTCCCTAAGAGTACCATCTAAATTCCAAGCAGAATTATTAACAGCAAGGTAACTGAGTGGGGCTAGCAGGGTGATTCGGTCATGCTTGGACCTAGGTCTTGTCGGATGTTAGTTGTCAGCTGCTGGTGGATGCTGTGTCCCTGGTGTTCCCTTCACACAGCCCCGCTCACTCGTATGTCATGGGCGGGAGCAGGAGCTGCGTCTCAGTTATAGGCATGATAGTCCACCCCTGGTGTTCTCAGGAACAGCAGGCTTCTCTGCATCTGGTGGCAGTAGAAGGTGTACAGGTCGACAGGGCTGATCGAGGGAAAGACAGCAGGCTCTCGAAAAGGACCCAGAGTGGGTCTGGGAGTGCCCACCCAAAGGATGGGAGCCTCAGACTTGGGCACGGTGACTCCTGTCAACATTGGTTGAGCACCACCCTACTTCCCAGAACCTTTAGGACTCAGAGGCTGCTCTGCCCGGGGTGGGGGTGGGGCAGTGGGCTCCTGGACAGCAGCACACCTAAAGGCCCAGAAGCACCTGCTGACGAGATAGCACTGCCTTGGGGCTGACCTCAGATCTGTGTCCTGTCTGCCTGTCAGACATCTGCCTGTGTCCACAGGTGTGAGATGGAGGATGACATGAAATGTAAGGGACATGTGAGACTTAGAACAGTATGACAAGAATGCAGAAAACTCACATGCAGTGATACAGTTGAGAAAGTTCACTTTTCTGTTCACGTTGCTTTGGTTAACGTTGGTTTGCAACTGTTGCGTGTACATAGATTTGAGGACGAGAAAGCCCAGAGGTACCAAGTATGTGACACTGTGCATAACTGAAGATCAATAAACTCCTTCCCTGCATCTTGAGGTTTGTCCTGTTCAGATCTCGATGCCCTGGGAGCTGTGGTGATGGGACTTAAGAGGCAAATGTAGATCCCATGGGCCACTTGGACTCTTCACAGTAAGATCTGACTTGTTAAAAAATCACTTGATAACATCTCGAAGATGCTGTCACTCCTCAGAGGTGAAGCCGTGGGAATGGCCCTGGACACTTCACCCCAGGCAATGAGTAGAGATGCGGGTGATAGCAGCCTGACCTTGTGCTAGTCCACTGAGCACAGCGCCTGCCGCAGAGCAGGGGCTCTGAGACATCTGCCTCGAGCGCTGTGCCAGTCCTCTCCGGAGTTGTCAGTCACCCAGATTCAGCAGTGGCCTGGGATTTGTACCGTTTGTTAGGGTTCGACTCATAGACAGATCCTCAGGGAATCCGCAGTTTAAAGCCAGGCAAATGCTGCCACTCCCGGGCTGGGTCAAAGCCCAAGGCCCTATCTGAGGCCCTGGAGCCTGCTCACGGGCTTGTGTGAGCTTTTGCCAGAGTTCAGTGCCCTGTGATAGTGGTGCTGACACTTGTCCACACTGTGCTCAGCTTCCTTGTTACCTGCCACACGTCCCCCTCCATGTGACACAAGCAGAGGGTGAGCCTCAGGAGACACCAGGGGACAGAAGATGAGCACCGGCAGATTCTGCTCTAGCTGGATTCCCGGAGGAAAGGACTTCTAGCGGGCAGAGCAGTGCGGGGAGACAGACAGGGAGTTGATGAAGAGGGCCGTCGCAGTATCACAGAACTGTCTCTCTGGCCAGAGACGGGGTGAGCCTGTGTCAGTCCTTCCGCTTCTCGTTTTCCCCCCTGGAAAGTGCTATTCTATGGGAAGCCTCGGTGGGCCAGGTTCACCTTGTGTGAGTTGAGTTCAGCCACAGAGTGGCCTAGACACAAAGGTGTCACTAGCCCAGGGTTACACAGGGCGGGCACACCCAGAAGGCGAGCGCTGGGGCTACCTTAAGGTTCTGCCCACATCCCATGAGAATTCAGAGGACTTAAATGTCCACAAACAAGTGCAGGAATCGCCCTTGGCCCACGTATACAGTGCCTCATACACAGCCTGAGGACCTGCACGCTGGCCAGGCTCCTGCCTGAGTGGCAAGGTGAAGGGCGTCTCAAAACGCCCTTGCTGAGAGTTGATGGGGAGGCCACTGCTCTGTCATTCTAGAGTGCTCTGTCTTATTTTCTAGAAGTTTCCTACCAGCATTGGGTTAATATTTCTCTCCAAAATTTTTAGATGACAAAGATTAATTGACTTACATAGGTCACATGGTTGATAAACAGCAAAGCAGAATTGACTATCACTTTCTAGGTCTTCACAGTGGCTACGTATTTATTTGTGACTTTTTTCATTGTGCCAAAATATACATAGTGTAAAGGTACTATTACTCACTATGAAGTGTGCAGTGGCGCTAAATATATCCAGAAGGCTGGGCACCCCTCAGCACCGTCTAGCTCCAGAACTTCCTCAGCTCTGTGATACTGTGATGCTGTCCCTCTTCATCAATCCCTGGCTGTCTCCCCGCACTGCTCTGCCCTCTGAAGTCCTCTCTTTGAGGAATCCAGCTAGGCAGAATCTGCCAGTGCTCATCTTCTGTCCCCTGGTGTCTCCTGAGGCTCACCCTCTGCTTGTGTCCACTTCTGGCCTTGATGAGGTGACTCCATTCTTAGCACATGCAAGGGCTTTCGGCATCTGGGCTCTGCACAGTGGGCACTGTTCTCCAGGACTCCGGGTCTCACCTTGTACCTAACTTCTAAGTCAACCACAAGTAGGAGCACAGTGATGTAGAAGCATCCAGGTGGAGTAACAGATGCCATTTGATTAGCACAAGAGTCACCTGGGATGCTGGTTCAAAAGATGAGCAGTAACTTGTCTTCGAAGAGTGGGTGACACAGGTGGGAGTGGAGCAGCACCTGGGCAGCTGGGGGGCATGTGGAGGACGCATAGCTAAAGGGGAGGAGCCTGGGTTACTGTGAGCTGAGCTGTGTGACACCATCACAAGGAGGTGCTGCTCAAACCCTGACATCATCGTGTGTCCTCAGCCGAGCTGGATGTGGAACACGCGCAGAAGGTGTTGGACATGGAGCACGCTCAGCAGATGAAGCTGAAGGAACGGCAGAAGTTTTTTGAGGAGGCCTTCCAGCAGGACATGGAGCAGTACCTGACCACAGGCTACCTGCAGATCGCGGAGAGGCGAGGTGAGTGGGGATGGTGAGGAACAGAGCCCACGCTGTCCCAACAGCCAGGTACCTCAGAATCAGGGTGTGTGCACCACAGCCCATCTGCCCTGCTCTCCTTGTGCCTCTTCCTATAGTTCCAAGTTCTACTTAAGGATTAAAAAAACAAACCCCTTAAAATTCCATATGGAAAACCAGGAGTAGTGGTCTACCCTGTAACCCCAGCACTCAGGAGGCCAAGGCAGGATTGCTGTAAATTTGAGGCCACTTTGGGCTAATGAGTTTAAGACCAGCCTAAACTACATAGTGAGACCCTGTCTCAAAAACAGAAAAGGAAGGAAGAAAGGAAGGAAGGGAGGAAGGAAGGAAGGAGAGAAAGAAAGAGAAAGGAAGAAAACAAATAAATTACAAATCCTGCTTATACAAAAAATCTGGAAACCTGGTTGGTCCCGCATGCCGCACCTGCCCCACCCCAAGGCATGGAGAGCCAGTGACTGAGTCCGGGCGTGGTGGCACATGCCTGTACCATCGTTGGAGAGGCTAAAAACAGGATCAGTGAGAGTCCGAGCTGTGTAGTAAGATCCTGTACTAAATACATAAAATGGAAAAAAAAAAACCAAAAAACTGGAAAATAATTTTTTTAAAATGTGTTCGCTGGTTTTTTTTGTATTGGGGATTGAACCCAGGGCCTTACCCATGCTAGACAAGGGCTCTACCACTAAGCTACACAGCCAGCTTGGAAAAAAAAAAAATTAAGTAAAAAAAAGACAAGTTACTCATAATTCCAAAGCATAGTAAAGGGACTGGGGAGATGGCTCAGTGGAGTAAGCGCTTCCTCGGCAAGCGCAAGGGCCTGAGTTCAATCCCCAGTTCCGCAAAAAAAAAAAAAAAAAAAAAAAAGCTCATAACATGATCAGAGCCAAAGCATAGTAAAACACCTATTACTGTTTTAGTGTGGTTCTTTCCAGTGTTTGTTCATGAGTATGTCCACGTAATTGATGTGTTTACATGGCTTTATGTCTGACTTTTCTAAACACAGTATAAGGGTCCCATCCATTACTGAGTGACCTGGCAGGACCTCTCCGTGACTATGTAGCTTAATGCTGGAGCGTGCATGAATCCCGGGCTCCATGCTGGCTGGGGCTGAAGAGGAAATTGGTTGAGAGCATGTGTTTAACGGGTGTATCTCCCTCCTGGGAAACAGCTTAGCATCCTGCAGGACAGGTATAGGACCCTCTGCATGGATACCAAACTCTATGCCTGCTCAAGCCTCTTAAAGAAAATTCTGCATAAAACCTTGGCATGGCCTCTCTGGGCCTTAACTCCTCCCTGGCTCACTCAACCTGATATTGTTGCCTGCACAGTGCTGTACACACCCACAGAGAACAACGTCTAGGAAGAACATCTACACAGGTTCAGACAGACAGAGCCACTGCAGGTCTAACACCTACCCAAGGCTGCTTTGACCTGCAGCTCAGGGCCTGGGATGTGGAGAGCAACGGGGCTGGATCAGTTCCTGTGCTGACCCTTGAGACTTCTTAGCTCTGTCAATGGTGCTGTGAGGGACAGGCAGGTGCAGAAGTGAAAGAACTGGCAGGAGAAGTGAAGGCGCCACACCCCTCCCTCCTTAGGGGCCTGTTGCCACTCAGGCTCAGGGGCCCCATGCTGCGCAGCTCAGTGCCCAGGCGGCCATCCCAGCTCTCAGTACTCACCTGTGGCCCTTCTCCTGGCCCTGCCCTTACCATAACCCCACTTTATCTCCTGTGGCTTTGCTTTGTGCCTTCCTTGTCAAGCATGCCTTTCCCTCCCAGGAAAGTCTAAAGACATGCCAGGGTAAGGACAGAAAATAATGCAGGGAACAGATGAAAGCCCTGTCTGGTATGTTGGCGAGCGCTGCTAGGCGCAGCAGTCTACTCGGAGATTCTGCTGTTTCAGCCTCCGTGGTTGATGCAGCTTTGAGTTTCCATCTGGCCTCCAGTGTCAGCCTCGTCCCATGTCACTGATGGCAAAGGCCCAGCTAAGCTGCTCCATGCCAGGGCACAACACAGCCTGTGTGGCTCCTCACGGAAGAGACAAGGGTGGTGTGGGCATCTGCATGCTGTCCTGGCTGCTGCCCTAGCAGAACACTGCAGCCTGGGTGACCCGAAGGACAGAAACGTCCTGCTTCGATAGTGAGTGCTGCAGGCAGCGTGGCTGGGTGAGGCGTCCTCCCTGGCTTCTCTCACAGCCCGCCGGGGCCATCAGGTGTTCCCTGTCTCCTGCACAGCTGCTGAGGCACCGTTACAGCTGCTGCAGTCTCCACCGCTGACCAGGTACAGGGCCAGGCCAGAGGCGTGTGGCAGTACTTCATAGACAGCTACCAGTTCAGTATTAAGTGTCTAGGTCTTCTTGGCTCTGAGCATCTCAAGAATAATTTTAAAGTTTCAAGAAAGTGTTTGGCTTATTCTTGTAAGGATAAGAAAGAAAGAATAGAGCCAGGCACATGTTGCCGATGTGTGGTTTTAAAGCACTGATGAAGAAAATCTCAGGCCTTGGCAGTGCTGATGCCTCCCCACGGCCAGTGGGCTCTGCACAGCCTGACAGTCACACCACCCTTCCGAAGGCAGTGTCCTCCTTCCCTAAAGGTAAATATGGGAGTTTAATTTAGAAATCTCTATCACAGTTAAAAGTCTCTACGGTGAACATGGTGGCTTTGACTCATTCCACTAAATCTGAAATCAAAGCCTAAGGTGTTTATCATTTTCAAGCCATCATTTTGAAATTAAGACAAGGCCATGGCAAACTCAGAAAATGACCAGAGGAAAGGGGGACACCCACCTGTGGCCACTGGAAGCTGGGTGAGCTAAGGAGCAGGCTGCAGCTATAGGCCTGTCTGGGGCTGATCTTCTGCCCTAGGTGGATGCTGGTTTCTCAAAACAGCTTAACTGCTTTCTGCATGGGCCGAGCGTCCGGGTGTCCTCACTGCTAGGTTGACACGGAGAGCTCCTGTACTGTGCCTTGTCTTCTGGCTTTGTAATCTTACGGTTCAAGGCTGAGTGTTGGCTGACTGCTACGTCAGCCAAGTTGGATCCTCTAGAGCCAGGGCCATCCATGTGCCCACAGAGGCTGACTCAGGCCCTCTGCAAGTGGACCAGGGCCCTGAGGAGAGAAGGAGGCAGTGTTTGTGCAGTGATAATGTTAACAGCCAAGTTGGCTAAGACTGAACAGACAGCAGTGCACCCCCACTAAGATTCACTGTCCCCGAGAACCCCTAGAACGTAAAGATGACTTGAAACACAGCTGCTGGTTTACGATTTCATCTTGATATAATTAGCTGTCCATGAGTTTTATTTAGAACTTAAAGAATTACTGTTGTCCATTAATGATTTTCAGTTTAATTGCAAAGTTGTAAATATTCAGAGAAGAACTGATGTTAGTATAACATGCCCATTGTTTCCAGGTTTAAAACATTAATATTTGCTTCAAATCTTCAAAGGTCATATTCCAAATGTACAGGAAGGCATAAGTAACTAATACACATGCACCCCCACCTAGCTGAAGAAATAAAATTTCACCAACCCTGAGTCCCTGTGCCCATTTCTGATCACACACACACGCACCCCAGAATGACACAAGGTGTGCTTTACAAGTGCTGAAGCCTCATGGTAGTACAGGTGTGTGCACCTTGCTCTCTCGGGCAGGCACGTGATAAGCACCCATGATCTGTCACAGCAGGCGTGATGTCCATCCTCATTCACAGTAAGCACACACTCATGTGTTCTTCACTGCGCTGAGCACGTGTCTGCCACATACTTAAGTCTGTTCGGTTTTCCAAACTTTTTTGTATTAAAAACTGCTGGTGTGGACATTCTTACAGCTCTCCACTAGGGCTGCTTCAGGCCAGTCGCTCTCCCACATGTGCAGCCAGCCTTCTCCCTATGTGGGGCCCAGAGCCAGCTTGCTGGGCTTGCTGTCTGCGTGCAGGTCTGCAGGGGCAGAGGACCGAGTCATGGGCACGTGCCAAGGCCACGTGGAGGCTGCTGGTCTAGCAACCATGCTTTGAGGGCCACTTCCGGGGCATACATACTCTTACTGTGAAAGCATGTGTTTACCGGACTCCTCCGAGTTTCTGTAATCATGTTAGCTATGTATGTGTTGATTATATTTTTGTCAACACTGTGGTGTCAAATATTTAAAAAAATTTTGTCAAAAAACTAGGATGAGGGGGCTGGTGAGATGGCTCAGTGGTCTAAAGCACTTACTTGGAACAAGCTTGGCAAAAAAAAAACACAGGGACCGGGGTTCAATTCCCCCAGCACCACATGCCAGCCAGCCCCACCCCCTGGTGGGCTGAGCTGGCCACACACACACACACACACACAATAAAATAAAAAACTAGGATGAAATGTTATTTTGTTTTTTGTCAGTTACTCATCATTTTTTTTTTTTTTTTTAATGTATTTGGTACAGGGTCTCACTACACAGCTTGGACTCTTAGTGATTCTCCTGTTTTCAGCCTCCCCAGTGCTGGGATTACAGGTGTACACCACCAACACGCCTCGTTTCGGTGGCCAGTTCGGTGCGCCCTGTGCCAGGGTAGGGCCGGCATAGCATGTGGTGCCAGGGGTCAAACCCCAGTCCCTGCACTTGCTAGGCAGGTGCTTAGTTCACTGAGCTATCTCACTGGCCCAGTTGCTCGTCTCTCTGTCTTTATTGAGTTTTCTGCTTGTGGATGTTGATCTCCACTTAGTTTGATGGATGGTTAGCATCTTGCACGGTGTATGAGTGGTCTTTGCCCATCAAATTGCTTATGGTAAACCAGCTGCCAGTTCAGTTTTTGGGTTTTTTTTGTTTTGTTTTGTTTTTTCCCGTTGCCATCTCCTACCAGCAACCTTGAATGTTTCGGCATACATAAAAGTAAATGTAAAAGGAAAAAAGTTACATAGTGATTCTGTTGAGGTCGTTTTCTGCTGAACACAATACACAAACATCCTCTGTCATTACTGTACCTGCCAGTTTGAGCTTGGTTCACGGTTTGTACCTTGTAAATCCTTAGCTCAAAGTTAGTAGCACGTCATGCTGTTTTAGTCTAGGAGTCTTAGCGCTTCCTCTCCTGCATGCACTCGCCTCCTCTGTGGCAGTCACATGCTGTCCCTCCACTCACACCCTTTGGCACCACCTTCACTCCACGCCACATGTTCTGTTGTGCTGTCATCCAGCCTGAATCAAAGCAGACTGGCTTATAATTACACGTGAAGCAGCAGTTCCTAGTAGAGACATTTGTCACTGTCTGCAGCCCATTTTGCTTGTTGAGACTGGGCGAGGGCTGCCCTGGGATCTTGCAGGCAGAGGCCCTCACGTCACAGCCCCACGTGGAGAATTTCCACGCCCCGGGGCAGCTGAGGTAGGAACCTGCTTCATAGCAAGCAAGCGCAGTGGCCCGGCCGCACCCCTGCACAGACCCTCTTGCCTCAGCTGCAGAGCTGCTCTGTGTTCCTTTGTCCTCAGTCTCCAGATCTCTCAAAATTCCTATCCACAGTCCACCTGCTTGCCCAAGTCTAGGGGCTGACAGGCAAATGGCCTCCGCACGGCTGCTCATTTTCTCCTGAGGTGGGGTGTGTGCTGCTTGGACCCAGTGGCTACTGTTGGAACACTGTTCTCCTGGTGGCCACTGCATGAATTCTGGCGTGGAGCTGACCATAACAGTGTCCATCGAAGTACCTGCTGTGTATGTTCAGGTTTCTTTTGCATTCCTAAAATTGCTAATTTGTACTTTCTCTATTGATCTGTAATTGTTTTTCCCATACCAAGACAAGCTTTTGGTTGTTCCTTGATATTCCATTAATTTTCCTCTTTAGTTTTCTTTTCTTTGATATGTAGGGGGGCCTGCCCCTTAGCTCAGTTCTTTAAGTGGCTGCTTCAACAAAGCAGTCAGGCTCAGGTTGCTGTGGTTCGATCCCCACAACACAAGACAGCCAGTCATGCCTTGAAGGCATTCGGCGCAAACAAAACAAAACAAAACAAAACACCTCTTTGATATGTAGGTTTGATATTCCATTCGTCCTGGTAAGGTGTTCAAAGTTTTGAATTTCTTGTTAAGCTACCATTTTAACTGAACTCATTTTAATAATGAACAGCAATCATAGTATTTAAATATTTCATTAAGATGCTTTGTTTTATAAACTGTATTTTTAAAAAAAAGATACAGGAAAAACTTTAGGAAAGTACTTGCCCGGTAGCCTTCTAATTCAGTTTCATTATGATTGGAGGGTGGGTTCCCCCTTGTTACTCCTTTTAGGATAGCTAGTGTCAGTCATCAAAGAGGCAGGTTAACAACCCTCCATGGGTATTACGCTTTCATTATGTTTGCCAGCTTTTATTTTTAAAACAGCTGAAATGACAGTGATGCAAAAGTTCTGAATAGTCTTCTGGGTAAAACCAATCTTAAAAGTTCTATTCTCTACCCAACATTGTTTTCAGTTCCCTTAACCCCGTTCTGTTTTTTCCCTTAATGTAACTCAGCAGCTTTTCTCTTAATTATTTCTGCCATCTTTCTCCTTTAGCTGGCACACTTGGTGCATCTGTAGGTAGTGACTACTGACATACATATTTTTCTTACCTTTGGTGCTATTTCCCTGAACTTCTTTCTCAGTCCAGTTTTCCTTCCTCCTTTAACAGTGATGCTGCTATTCTCTGTAGGAAAACAGCGCGGCAGACACAGGGGCCTCTGTGCCTTATGAAAGTGAACTTGAAGCACTAGGCAAAAAGCCAACAAGGCCAAACTGAAAAAGCCCCCAGACCCATGTGGCCAGAGGCCATCTGCCTGGTGATCAGGTCGATGAGGCCTCCAACCTGTTGCTCCCTGCCGGGAGAAGGTCAGCCTGAACAGTGACGAGCTGCCTGCACGACAGCTTTGGATGTGGTCACCAAACACAGGACTGTGGAAAGAGCAAGCTCTGCCCTTCACCGCGTCCCCTAGCGAGACACAGACCGTGCCCTTACCGCACGCACAGCAGCTCCCAACTCTGAGACCCCCTTTTCCACGCTCTCCCTGCAGTGCGAAGGAGGCCCGCTCCACATTGTACCGCTTCAGTGCAGGTTTTTTGTTCAGACACGCATCCTTTCAGGTAACATGCTTGCACTTAGCTTTTCCTTGTGGGACTCTTTGAAATGTATTTTACGTTCTAAATCTGGGTCCCAGACTTTGCAAAATAATTAGCCTCTCAGTGTAACTGCTCTGTTCTCCCCTTCTGGTTGTGAGCAAGGTAAGCCTCATTGTCATCTAGCCCGTTAGTTTTGTTCAGCTCTGCTATACTGGAATTCTCCTAAGCTCCTTGGCCTGTTTCAGGTGCCAGGTCTGAGTCTTCTGTGTGTTGGCCCTCACTACTCATGCTCCCTCCCAGGCAGTGGCCTCTCTGGACTGGCAAGGACCAGGCCTTGTACTGTGAGTTTATACCCCCATGAGAGGCAGGGCTAAGGACAGCTACACAACACTTCTGCCAGGCACTTGCATGCTGGCAGGACTTTGGCTGCTTGCAGTTCTCTGGAAGGTGGCGTGCGAACTCGGCATCTGGGAGGCTCATCCTGCTGCGCTGGCAGCACACGCCCTGTCAGGGCCACTGCCGGCCTGTACATATGCGTGTACACCTTTGCTGCATCACATCTGCGGTTGCCTGTGGGGATGAGAGCTGTCCTGAGGGTAGTACAGACATCACCCAGCAGCAGAGGCGGCCTCTGTACACGGCAGCACCCCACTGCATCCCCGGCCTGCTTCTGCAGAGGTGTCAGAGGTGCTTAGGACAGGTTCAGTAAGACTACTGCTGTGTCATCTGCACCTTCTAATTGCTGCCGTGCACCTCTGTTCACAGAGCCTATGGGCAGCATGTCGTCCATGGAGGTGAACGTGGACATGCTGGAGCAGATGGACCTCATGGACATCTCCGACCAGGAAGCCCTGGATGTCTTCCTGAACTCAGGTGGCGAGGAGAACACTGTGCCGTCCCCTGGTTTAGGTAGGTAGGGCCCACAGATGGGCATGAACAAAGCCAGGACTCACCTCTGCTCACACTGGTGCCCTTCTGGGCTTTGGAGCAGGGCAGGGTGCCCCTCCTCTGGCCCTCCAGCCCAGAAGCTTTTCCAGCTATGCCTGTTGGGACAGCTCCTGCATGGCTCCAAGTCTTTGGCTTTGTCCTTGTAAAGCTCCTGTCTTCCTCCTGCAGACTTGAGGTGGAATTTCACTGGGCAGAGGCCCCACACATCCTCACAACTCCTCAACCACTCAAATTCCATCCTGGGCCCTCCTGAAACTGACTCAGTCAGTCAGCAAGTATTTGCTGAGGCACACCAGGCCCCGCCTCGCTACACGTTGAAGTCCAGCCATCTGGCCTGGGCTCTGGAGCACCCGCAGCTGGGCCTGTAAACTGCTTCCCGTATGTGAGCCAGGGGCCAAGCTCGGGACTGGATCTTGTCATGACGCCCCCACTTCTCCTCTCCCCTCCCGCCTGGCTGATCTGAGTGCTGTCTCTAGGTGAGGCAGTGTCCTGAGTATCCTGTCCTATGGTGCACAGGCCAGGGCACTAGTGCAGGGCAAGGCTGGTCCCTCTGCAGGGCACAGCAGCAGTCCTCATCTTTCTGGAAGTACTTCAGTCCTCTAAGCAACAGTCACCTCCAGCTGTGGTTTTGCGCCGGGGTCTGAGTCACTTCCACATGCCACAGCACTTGGCCCACTGTTCCAGGGTGTTCCCATCTCAGAGGCACTTGCCCTGTCCCGGATGGCTGGGCCAGGGAGGCAGGGCTGAGCCAGCTGAGGGCACACGACGGCAGCAGGCCCTCACCCCGGCTGGGCACAGGCAATCTTTTTTCTGACAGATTTTTCCCATTTTATTTCCCAGGCTCTGAATTGGAAACCTGTCAGAATGAAATCACCCTTCAGGTTCCAAACCCCACAGAATTACCTCCCAAGCCACCTTCCTCCCAGTCTGCCTGCAGTGACACTGCCCCCCAAGATGCTGAGAGTGGGGACGGCCCGCAGGTGCAGGCAGATGAGGAGGAGGTGCAGGCAGACACTGCTCTCACTACCTTGCACACTGACAGCAAGGCTGCTTCAGACATCAGCGGGGACAGCGACTCAAGCCAGGATGTTTGAGTGGAGCAGCCTGGGTTGACAGTTGCCGGTGACGTGTGAGAGCAGCAGTGTGAGAGATGAGTGTACAATAAAGTTTGAGGACTCTGCACCCAGAGTATGTAGCTGCTTTGTACAGGGCCTGCTGCTCAGCCCCATCGTGCACTGGGGAGGGGGCCCCACACGGCAGCTGCGGAAGACAGCGTGAACATGCTGCCCCCTGCAGGGGAAGCCTGGCTTCAGCAGCCCAGGGACCCCGGGGCGCGCCTGCTGGAGCGCAGCTGTAGTGAGCAGCCCTGCCCTTGGTGGACGCCCAGCCCCAGCCCCTGCCATCCACTCATCTTCCATCAGACAGACAAATGTCCAAAAAACATTGTTTTTATTATTAAACCTTGTAGTACAAACCTGAAAAGTAAACAAAAAACTGGCAATAAACCACATGAAGTCTTCCCTCTCAAGGGAGGGGTGCAGAGCAGCGCTAATAAATTAAATGTCAAACTGTAAGCCATAGGCGGAAGTTTACTGTCAAAAGAGGGAAAGTACACAGCAAGGCCATAAAAACCGGACAACCACATTGGAAAACACTTGACTGTTTATGTAATTGTTAAATATTCCAAAACAGTTCAGTCTTCTGCAACAACAACCAACAAAGTGGATCCTAGGACGTTCCTGGCCGTCACCACCGGCAAGCTCAGTGCAACATGGGTAGCTACGGGGTCGATGAATCCAATTATGAAACAAAGAACAACTTGTGAAAACAATTTCCCTTTTTTATTCCACACATACTGTACACACAACCGGAGAAGGGCAACAGCTACTCCATTATGATTTTGTCGTCGTTGTTCAGTGATGTAAGCAGCACTTATAAATGTTACAAGAAAACCCTGTAAGCATCCGATCCGCCAATGAAGAAACTGAAGTGTAAGGCTTTTCTTCATCTGTCTGTCACCTCCCCTCCCCTCCGAGAAAGGCTCAAGTATTTAAAACAATTTACAGGCGTATGTACAAAAGGGATGGGATATTTTTTCTTTTTTCTTTTTGTTACAACATGGACAGAAAAAATAGATAAGATGAGCGCAAATGCATTTCACATTCAAAAAGAACTGCAGACCTAGTGGCTCTAAATGTGATCATAAACAAAACAAGTTCTAAAAAAAGATTAATGCTGACTTTGTGAAGGTGTGAAACAGTGAGATGAAGATGGAATGTTAGAAAGATTGCACGTTGACGACAAAGAAGCACTTGTGGCTTCGATCAATTTTTTTTTTCCCTTAAGGATGCTATTGAAGGGTTTTTTGATAAAGTAGCCAACAGCACCAAAAAATAACAGAATGGATTTCCTAATGAAATCAGGCACAGGTCTCCGTCAGTGACCCTCCAGGCAGGCGGGCTGTCTCCATCCTCCGATGCATAGCGATTCAGCTGGTGAGGAGAACCTGCTCGCGCCGACCTCCGCCTTCAGCTGCCATAACCGCCCGCGACGGCAGCGGGCCTCTCCGGTTTGAAAATACGAACTCATCTCGCACATGACAGAAGGAAAGACAGCCAAAGTAAAGCCATTTCTTTTCAAGTTTTTTTTTCTACGTGTGTCTGTGTGTCTCCTATCCCTTTTCTGATCTAGAAAAATCTGCTCACATGACTTGATGGATTTAAAATTTGTTCTCCAAACTTCACCCTCTTCAAAAATGGGTTTAAAAAGCCTTTTTTTTTCCCCCAACAATTACAAAAAAAAAAAAAAAAAAAAAAAACAAAAGGGCTTTTGTCAGCCTTATAGGGGCAATACAAATTAATACAGCCCCCCAAGGGTTTTTAAAACAGTGAATATACGGCAGTTTCAAAAATTTGACTGCAGTGTCTAGGTATTCTAAGTACAAAAAAAAGTTCCAACAGTTTAATGCTAAAACAAAATTAGTTCTCTAAAACCAGAAGAAAATCTTCTTTAGAGCTAGTGCAAAGACAGCCTGTATCCTACAGCAAGTACTCCAAACTAGAATATAATAATTACAAAAAAATATATATAAATCGACCATGGGGTTGGCGTCTTCATGATGAGCTCGCAGCACTTCTGGAGGGTCCAGAGGCCGGCAGCCGGGACGGCGGCACGTCCACGGTGGCTCTCTTGCGGGGGCCTCGTTTTGGTGTGGGTTTACTGAGACAGTTCTCAATGCTGCCGTTCTTGCCAGACACTTTGCCACAGATCTGATTGACGAGGCTGATGATCTGCTCCTGGAGGGCAAAAGAAGACACAGGTAAACATGGCCCAGCCCATCACGAATCCACATGCCTGCGGCTTCAGGGTATGTGGCATGGCTGTGACTGGCCTTTCCAGCAGTAACAAGGGCTTCTGAGCAGCAGCACCCTTGAGAGCTAGCAGTGACAGCACTTAAGGAGGCACCCCAAATTTTGGACCACCTCCTTACCCACTGCTCCCTTGACCACCAAATGATGGGCTACAAGGCTGTATCTCATAGTGCCTCCCTGCTGGCTAAGCCAAAACTCAGAAACCTGGCTCCCACGACTGTACCCAGGAGCGCCAACTGCTCCCTAAGACCTGCGCTCACACTGGGGTCCCCATGCTAAGTGGGCTCACAGGGTATTATACAGTGCTGCCACTGCCGATCTCTTCCCAGTGCCACACAATACAATCATCACTGCCCAGCCAACCAGCTGGGCACCCCAGCTCATTTCACCACAAGGCAGACAGGCTTGCAAATACACGCGGATGCTTGCCTGCTATGCCAGCACAAGCCTTAATCCAGCACTAGAGGCTGATGGCAGGCTTGTGCTAAGTTCAAGGCCAGTGTTCATGGTGCAGCAAGGCCCTGTCTCCAACACTCAAGGCCACCAACACCTGCATGCCAGTCCTGAGAACCATCTATCTGAGTAAATCAGTAAGGCATCTACTACTCACCCATCCTGTTTGAAAGCAATGGGAAGAGATGCATGGTATACCTCAGGAGAACGCTGGCTGGGGGAGATGGGGTGGGGTGCTACAGGCCCTGTGGTCCAGAAGAGCGGTGGTCAGCTCCACACAAGGACAGACCTTGGGCTTTCTGGAAAGGACTGCAAGTGAAGGCTGCCTTGCTTGAAATGTCACTAATCAGCAAGTGGCATGACAACCTTAAAGAGTTTGGTGTCTTCCTTAGAAGCTTCCCAGGTCATGGAGACCAGGCTAATCCCTCCCAGGGAGCAGGCAAGACTTCCCTCCATCTGCAGGGTGTGACTGGTCCTCAAGCTAGACCATCTCCAATTCAAGACAAACCCCACATGGCTCCACTCAATACCAGACTGGTCCGCAGATGACCATTTCTAAAATTTCCATCCTTACTCATCAAACCAAGCATCAGAGCACCAGGCCTGTGTGTTGCCATTTGCAACACTCAGGGGCTACAGGACCTAACTGCTGCACCACTAGTGAAAGCTGAGGCCCAGGCTTTGTAGCGAGAGTTCCAGGAGTCCTGTCAAGGCCGGCCAGGGCAGAAGAGCTGTTTTAAACATGTTCTGACATCTGCTGCTAATGCAAAGAAACCCACAAGGGCAAAGGGGTGGTTGTCCCTGAATACATTCCTTGAAAACAAAGACCCAATCAGACTTGTAACTTTCCTACTGTATTATCAACTTAGGCTATCTTAGCCAAAACCTTGTTTGACCACCTTCCTCCTTGGGGGTTCATCTGCCATCCCTGGGGATGTGGACCAAGTGGTCAGGGGTAGGCACCAGGCTGAGCAGCATGGAAGCACCAAGACACACTAGTGGCTGCTGACCCAGATAGGAGGTCTGAGTTTCAGCCTCAGCCACTGTGTTGGCCCCGACCACTGGGGAAAGAGTGGACGGGGGGGGGCTGCTGGTGGTGGAGGTGGCAGTGGTGCCTCACAAAGGACAGCAGAGACCGACAACTGGCAGCAGCTCAGGAGAGCAGCCAGGCACCAAGGGATGGGTGTGATGAAGTATGGAAACAGGCTAATTTAGGGGTTGGGGAGGTACCCAGCTGGGTGCAGGAAGAACTCAATGGGAAGCAGGAAGAAAGCCTCTGGTTATGCTGAGGTCCCTCAGAGCAGCAGTTGCAGCAGACTTGCCCTGTGGGCTCAGGCAGGGTGCTAATAGGAGCTGCCTGCCATCTCCCCCAAAGCAGCTCTGCTACACTGCCTGGGGGCCAAGCTGCCTACTGCTTACGCCTAGGGACAAGGACATCAACCTGGCACAGGGCAGTCAGTGAGAAGGGTCCCTGGCCTAAGCAAATGCAGAGCGGGCCTTTCCTGCATGCACCAAGACACAGGCCTCTGTCATCCTTCTCTGCAGGTAATAAGTCACTGGTTGACACAGCAGCCACAGAGGAAGACAACATCCCCAAGAGCTGGCTCAGCACAAAGCCATGGCCCCCAGGAACTGACAGTTGAGGAGAGGAAAAGGGACTGGCTCATTGCTTTATGATGCAGACCACAGCTCAGCAGCTAGAAAGGTCTCCAGGCAGCAGGGACCCATAACGCATGGCCCCAGTCACATGCCAGGATGGGCAAAAGGCCAGCTCCAGGGAACAATGCAGTCCCCCGTTTGTTTAGTTCCCTGGCCAGGTACCGAGGACCCTGGGAAGCAGCTCCTCTGATCCTATACCAAAGCCCCTTTTCCTAAGAACTAGTGGCCCTGCTGGGGTCTGCAAGACACCAGGGAAGGGGCCGGTCCAAGGCCAAGACTAGTGTCTGTGGGGCCAGGGAGATGGCTCAGGAGAACAAGTGCTTGCCTGGCAAGCATAAGGGCCTGAGTTCAATCCCCAGTTTCGCCAAAAGTGTCTGCAGGTGTGGCTTATCCCAGCTAGGAGCATAGCTAGTCCCCTATGGGGACCAGCCCAGAAGCTGCCAGGCCTACTTCACATAACAGGCCACCCATGGCCTCAGGTGGGCCTTAAATGTGCAAGTAGGAGCAGCTGGGTTGCTTCCATTCACACTGTCCCACTGGCAGTGGGGGACAGGTGGCTACTGGCACACAGCCACCGATTGACCAGGGTGAGAATAGCACAAATACCCCACATGGTGTTGCCAGTGCCCCCACCACAGCAGAGGAGCAGCATGTGTCCACCAAGCCCTAGGGGTGGAGTCCCTGCTACTAGGCAGTTCATGCTCAGGAAGCAAAACAAAAAATGACAGGACAGAACTTGCCCAGAGGTGCTGTGGGCAGGAGGAGAAAACCAAAGCGTGCCCAAATCTGCCCCGAGCTACCAAGGCAGTGCACACCAAAGCTGGCGGAATCCACACATCCCAGGCTCCCTGCTCTCACAACTCCAAACTCCGCACAACAGGGCCCAGCTAAGCTGGGGTGGCTGGTGTAGGGACTGACCTCATCATAGCGGTACATCAGCTTCAGCCCACGGCAGGATTTCTGCTTCTCCACGTGGCGCAGGGCACACTCCAGGCAGAACACGACATTCTCGTTCTCCTGTACCACCTGCCAGGAGGGCACGGCTCAGCGGGGGTGAAGTGGACAGGGACGCCCAGGGACCAGGCAAGGCTGCCCCACCTTGATGCACTGCCCACATGGAGGGGCAGGTGATGGGAAAACACTTGAAATGGACTAAAAAGCCAAGCAGGCCCTCAGGTCCAGGTAGGGTCTTGAGTAGGAGTGAGGGCTGGGCTGCAGGAGTTGGGGGGGCTCAGCCTCATGTGCAAGAGACCAGCAAAAGGCAGAGGCAGAGTAGACGGGCCTAACAGCCGAGGGAGGACAGCTGACTGCTGCACCACAGGCCTGCCAGCTGACACCATCACTGAGCAGCTCAGCCACAAGCACCAGCCAGAGACCCTACTGCTGCCTCCAAACTCAGTGACTGCAGCCTTCGACTCCCAGGCGTCTGCACCAGCAAGACACGTACCGAACTGCTCCAGGTCTCCCCCTCCAGTGAGGACAGTGCAAGGCTGCAGGGAGCGAGGCCCAGCACTGTCTGACAAGACAGATAAGAGGCCTGCCAGGGCAGCAGGGCTCCTGTTCCTCACTTGCTTCTGGTCCACATCTAATGGTGTGAGAAGGAGGACACATAGTGTCCCAATACAAAGGCACGAGCAGCCATAGGCGCTTCTTGAAAAGGAGGGGACACCTGAGCTCCTGTGTCCCCACTGTTTCTTAGCAAAGGGCAGAACAAGCTGAGAGCAAGGAAATTACAATGACAGATTACAATGACAGGAACACCACCATTTAAAGACACTGCAGGTGGAGGACAAAAATAAATGAACATGCTAATCTAAGCAATGTATATTGCAAATATTCATACAGAAAAGAAATGCCAGGTGACAACTCTAAAAGCACAACTCTGAAGGGCATTTTGAAATGGCCTCACCCACAGCCAGCCCAGGAAGCATGGGGATAGCCCGTGTCACAATATGTTCACCACAGAGCCATGGAGGAACAGGAGGGCAGACAGTGCTGAAGCTGATCTGGAAAAATGCTACATTATTGACAGTCTCAGTCTGTATAGTTACGTGAAAAATCTGAGGAAAGAAAACCAGGATAGATGAAAATGTACAGAACGGCTGTGGGCTTGTCGCTGGGGGTCTTGCTTCCACAGCTCCAAGGCAGAACCAGGAGAAGCAGCAGCACCGCAGAGGGTGAGGGGAGAGGATAGGCAGGCAGCTGTGGGGCAGGCTGCAAAGCCACTAGGACCAGAGCGGGGCCCTGCAGACCCTAAGTGGCCCCCAGGAAATCCAGCTCTCATCAAAGGCCACAGCTACTCAAGGGGGCCACAAGGACAGAGCTGAACCATGGGGCGAAGTGGAGCAGGAGGTAGTGATGGGGTCTCAATGTGGGCCCAGCTCACCATGGACAGGTAGCACAGGTGCTGGCAGATCTGACACCGCCTCTCCGACGTCTCCAGCTGCAGCCACTTTCGAGGCTTTTTCTTCCCATCTGCGGCCACACTGCTGCCATCGTGGCTGCCGTATCGCGCAGATGAGTGGAGGCCAGCCTCGAACAGCTGCCTGCGCTGCCGCAGCTCGGTATCCCTGCAGACACAAAGAGTCTCAGACACAGCAGGGCATGCTACGGCCATGGGCAGTTCTGCCCTCGTGCACACCGAAGTTATACTCATGCCACCTACTAGCAGCAGCAGCACTGACCAGAGGTTGTCCTGGGTGGGAGGGCCGTGGGGGTGTGTATGGAGACAAAGAGCGGCCCAGGAGAGCCAAGTGGGTGTTGTCCCATTGTGGGTCAGCCCCGGGTGGGGCCCCATGTCAATGTGACCAGCCCACTCTGCACTAGGATCAGGTAGGATTAGGCACCATGCGCCCATTGCCTGGCTTCCAGAATGCAGAGCCAGGGGCCCTAGGCCAGGAGTCTTAGCCCACCTTCTGTCCATTCCTGCAAAGGACATTTACACTGATTGTGTTTTCTTAATTTTCTGTTAGTAAGGATTGCAGCCACATTTCCAGCTCTTTTTTTGAGACAGAATATCCTGAAGTTGCTAAATTGCCCAGGCTGGGCTTAAAACTGTAACCTTTCTGCCTCAGCCTCCAAGAGTGCTAAGATTACAAGCATGCACCACGGCACCTGGCTGGGACCCACACTTTGTATCAGTTCGTGGGACAGTGTGACTCCTTCGTCCCGGAAGACAGAAAGGTCACAGCACAAACAGGCAGCAGGGGAGTCTGTGACCCCAGGCTCCCCCCGCCCACTGCACATCACAGGTGCAGCACGGAAGGCAGGGTGTGCGGCACCTGAGCTCGTCCAGAAGGGCTGAGATGGTGCTGAGGGTGGGGCCGTTCTCCTTCTTTGCCTCCGCCTGTGCAATCTGGTAGAGCAGCTTCTCCATGGAGAATGGCTTGGCTATATGGCGGCGCTTCATTTCCTAAAACACAGGCATGGCCTTCAGGGGTGGTGTGCATTAGAAGCACTCTCACCATCCTTGGCAGAAATGGCAGTCAGGCTGCCTAAATCTCCAAAATTTTAACTGAGTTTGCACTAAATCTATTGAAAATCACAGGGCTCTGCTTACCTGGAGAACAGCAGGGGATACTAGGAAAATCCCTAGCTCCCTACTGCCGGCCCACCCATGCTCGCCCCAAGTCTCCTACACAGCCTCTGTACTAGCTCCACAGCTCGACAGGTCGTCCAGTAATGGCGTCCCCGCACCTGCAAGCCCTTGCAACTCTTGCAGCCCAGACAAGCCTTCTTGCCAGCCCAAGAAAAGTCAAAGACACCCAGGCTAAGGAATGGTCCAAGCACACCATACTGCAGGATGCCTCTGCAGCCATGTGGAGGGCGCCTGCTTACCTTGGCCGTCTCGAAGCCCATACTTGTCCACTGGGTGGTAGCAAAGTGCACAGTTTCGGAGACGCTGTAGCCACAGCACACTTTGGATACGAAGGACCCCGGGAAGCAGACAACAAACTGTCCACTCTGCTGCACAGTTCGGTGCACCTTGATCCCCTCTCTGCACAGCACCTCCGGGGAGATCTGGGGAGACAGGGCTGATGAGGGTTCTGCCTCCTGCCCACTGCCTGGGGCTCCAGGACAGTTAGCTGGGCATCAGGGTCTCAGGAAAGAGCTGTTCTCGAGAAGGAGAATGTTTCCTCCTTAGGAAATCAAGAGCCATTCCTTGAACAATTTTTGAACTGACACTGGTCTAGAACCTGACTCCTGGGTCCTCCAAAGCGAAGGACAGAGGAGTCCAAAGCGTCATCTTGCTGGCCCCAGACCCAAGGGCTTCTTCCTACCCACTAGCCACTGCCAAGGTCGGGGGTGGGGCCAGGTGAGGGCAAACCAGAGGGTCAGTGACCATGTTCTCTGTCCCATGGCAAGTGTGGGGGATCACAGATGTAACACAAGGTTAAGGTAGGAGCCTGGCTGCAGCCAGGCAGGAAACAGCTCCAAGGTGTGAGGACCCCAGAACTCGCCAGCTCCTCAGTGGCTAGAAAACTGGTCAAGAGGTCTTTGTGCTCTTCCCCAGTCAGGGCCCAAAACTGGGGAGAGGCCAGCAAAGAGGCAGTGCACCAAGCCTGAAACCCAGGTCAGGCCCTGCAGATTTACAAGCTACAAGCCTGCGTGGGTGCTCAGGACCCCACAGCTGTGCCATCGTAAGGCAAGTCCCCAGCTTGCTCTTCCTGTCACAAGACACTGGTCTGAACCCCTGCAGGATTTTTCTGCTTTGTCCCTTTGTCCCTGGAAGGCAAGGCAGTAAGCAACCTGGGGATCTGTGCCAAGGCCGTACCATGACATTGCTCTCTAGCATCTGCAGCCCTGGGGTGCCGTTGGCCTGCAGCAGGGTGTGGACCACGTCCTCCAGCTTGTTCTCCTCCTCAGCAGGAATGCAATACCTGGGTGGTGGGAAACAGGGAGAGTGCTGAGCACACGCTGCCCAGGAGGAAGGGATTGGCTCGGAACAGCCGGAGTGCGAGCTGGCGGCCTGGCACTGCTGTTGCACACTGAGCTGCAGGGCTGCTTCTGTCCAGCATGAGCAAAGCCGCAGCCTCACCACTCTACTTTCCTATGGATGTGACCACATGCTGAGCCAGGCGCTTCCACCAGATGTTCTGTGCCTTACTGTACGTGAGAATCAGGCGCCACTCCAGTCTCCAGCCTCTTGCCGGCTCCAACTGTGGGCCATCTCTTTTCCAGGTCACCAGCACTGGACACCCTTTCTGTGAAGCAGCTGCCACAGGACTGGGGCTCTACAGTGCTCATGGCAGAAACACACAGGACTCTGGGTCCCTGAGTCAGTGTGACAGGGAGGGCCTGCACGAACTGCCAGGAAAGGCAGAACCACCTGAGGTTCTCCACAAAATAAGGGAAGAGCCAGCCCAGGAGCACAGCACCTCAAGGCTGAGACTAAACGCTGCCCTGGGGAATGGCAAGACCCGCAGGGGAGTCCTGGGAGACGGTGGCCCTCCGTGCACACACAGCCCCACAGCTAACGCGGAGATGAGACTTGGCATTCCCAGCATCTGTTTCCTAGTCTGAGAATACCAGGGACCACAGAGCCATCTATGATATGTGACTTCCAGGCACCACACAGTGCGTGTCCACCCGCAATGCCTGGCACAAGGCAGGGTGCCCACCTGACTCTGGGCTGGGTGTGTGGCAGTGAGACAGCTGCAGGACTCTGCCATCCTTACCAGGTCCTCCCTGGGCCATGAGGAACAGGACATCAGAGCAGTAAGGAGGTGGCAGGAACCAGGGTGCCAAAGCTGGACAAGCTGTTGGCCAACCTGGGGCAGGAACTGTGGGGGACCTGCTGGTCGTCCCACATCCCCTGGTGCCACAGCCCTGCTCCTCTGCAGGCCAGCTGTCTGAGGCACTCAGATGCCTATGGAGACCATCACTGGCATGGTGGCCAGGTCCTTGTTTCAAACTGCTGGATAAAAGCCTCAGCCACATTGACAGATTTTTTTTTTTAATGTATTATTTAAAAACCAACATACTCTGTTACTGATTCGTGATTTAAATACAGGGTTCCTAACATAAATCATATGTAGTAAAAACCACACACCCTAAGCTCTCTGATCACATCCCTGCCTCTTCTTTCTTTTCCTTCAGCAAGGCCCAGGGAGGTGACTTCAAAGAGCCCACAAAGCCTGTTTCCACCACCTCAACAACACTCCCTAGGAGAGCAGCTGCGTGGGCCACGCCACATCCATGCCCGCACATGAAAGCCAATGCTGAGCTCCTCGAGGTCACGGCTGGTGGGACTTGACAGGGCTGGACCCTGGGCTCTCCCATTGCTGCTTCTGCCTGTGGCCTACGCAGCACCTCAGCTCCTCACCTACCCACGCCTCCACCTGGCCCCACTGGGTCCATACAGGGAGCCACCAACCACCCTCATCAGCACCCATGTTGCAACCCCCACATCACCCACAACCAACTGCAAACCCATGCCAGCTCCCAAGAGGGGTCGCCAGTGATGCCGCTCTACTACTTGAATGAACAACATGCATCAGGACAATGAACCCAGCCAGCATGGAGGAACGTGAGGCAGGAAGGCCATGAGACTTGACAGGATTATGTGCAGTCATTTCCCATCTGCCACTGAACAGAAACAACAGTGCCCAGGCCAACTGGGACCAGGATGACTGCAGCAGAGTCAGAATCACAGGCTGGCACAGGCCCACATCACATGTGGCTGCACAAAGCAGAACACACGCCTGGCAGTAAGTCCACTGCCTGCACTACCACAGTACTCACCAAATGCAGTCAGCACCAGTGTGTAAGTAGTCGATATATGGAAGGTGGTTTTGGTCTCGAGACCAGCATGAGGTAGAAAAGACCATGCCAATATTTAGCCAGGGAATAGTCACTCCTGAAACACACAGGGAGACATGGTGTTTTAAAAGCATGCTCAGAGTTAACAACCTGTAGAAACCCACATCTCCAGAAAAACAAGTGAGATTTAAAACCAGCCAGAATTTGGTTAGCCACTATCTGCTGCTCCCCTTTGTCTACATAAATGAACCCAAGTGTGAGACACTGTTCCAAACACTAAGGAAAAACACCCTGGGTAGCAGATACAGACTGTGATATCTGCTGCCAGGCCTGGGTCCCCTTGGTGTAGGAGCCATCCCTCTGCCTGGGGATTGGGACACGGGCTCATAGCTCAGGGCACTGAGATGTCCCTCTTCAGGGACCAAGATGTCTGGTGACCCTTGGCTTCCCCAAATCTGCAGCCTAAGTTCCTTCTACACCCATTCATAGTTACAGTCAGAACACCAACTTCAGCTAGGATGCTGGCTTTGGAAGTGCTTCCGGGGTTCAAGGCTGGCCCAAGGTGTCCACCCAGCTGCTGGATGCTGTGGTACAGGTCGCCTCCTACAGTTCTGCTGACCTTCTCAATTGCCACCTCCTCTCTCCTCCCATTTCCGAAAGCCAAGTTCCTGCACACAGCCTTTCCCCCGCAGGCTCTCTGGCATGTGTCATGGTGAGGCTTACCAGGCACAGCACCGAGGTGACGCAGAATGGATCCTGTGTTATTGGGGAGGACAGTGAGGTTCCATCCGTGCCTACAGGAGGAAGACAAGGGATGTCACAGGCTAGAGGAAGGGGCACTCTGTCCAGTCCCCAGGACAGACACGGGGGCCCTAGCATTACCTTGAAAAGGGCTCTGATTTTCCCACTGGGAATCCGCTCCCATGAGTGTTGGTGTCCACCTTGCCGCAGTGCACGGCCACGTGGCAGTCCTTCTCCTCCACTAACCTCCAGTACTCTTGCTGCAGGGAGATGAGAGGGCCAGTGAGCTGCCAGTGGCCAGACTGAGTACCTCAGCACTAGGAAGACCTTCCTGGTGCTCCGCACCAGCCTGAGAAAATGGGGTCCCATCCACTGTACAACCCAGTGGGGGCTCAGGTGCATAACAGCTTTAGGTACAGGCGGGATACAACTCCCCAGATGCTAACAGCAGGAGCAACCCAAGCATGCACCACAGGCTCTCTGCACAAAAGTGGAGACTGACATGGGCTACAACAGGACAGACCCAAAGGATGCTCTGCTTGGTGAAGTAAGCCAATGACAAATACCTAACACTGCGGGAGCACCCCTGCATGAGAGGCTCTAAGGATGGGACAGTTCTGGGCTAGATGCTGCTGACAGCTGTACATAGTGACCACAATACAACAGTGAAGAAAGACAAAAATGCTTAAAGGATGAAGGCTTCCTCTGTCCTCCTGAGTGTAATAAACTCAGCCTTGGCCTGTGCGGGCCTCATCACAGGCTCAACTGCCAGTTAGGGCCTGGCACGCACAAAGTCCACGTGAGGTGGACTGGGGTCTTCACAGCCACATACTGCCAGCATGAGACCACAAGGGAAGCTCGGTGAATTCTGTGCACAGGGGCTTGTGTGACAGAGGGAAACAGCTGTGCTTGGTCTACCCGACACAGCTCTGCACTGAGAGGCGCCAGTGTACTTTCAGCACTGTTCCAGACGTGCACCCTCCTCTGCCCTGGGCACACACAGCACCAGGGCTGCATCCTAGGGCCAGCTGTCTGCTCATCAGAAGAGTTGGGTCACTAAAGAAAAGGCAACTTCTTACACAGACTTCCTGCAACCAAGGTACAAGGGATTGTGGATGAGGAGACCAATGGGTCACATCCAGCTGCCACCCCTGTGCTGAGTTGAGAGTGGACCCCAAGACATTGGGTGGTGCAGAAAGGGCTCAAGCCCAGAGAGAGCAGCCAGCCCTGTTCCCGCCGATAGCAGAGGAAAGACAGGGAGCACAGCAGAAGCAGCCAGCCAGCCCCAGGCTGAACTCTGAATTTTAGCAAATCCTCACTCTCTGTTTAAATATTTACACAACTGCAAGAGCAAAAAACCAGACTTTCTAAAGGAATTAATTCCTGAATGGAAAATCCTAACAAGTTACTCTCTACTACACTCTGACAGTAATAATCTACATATTCAGGAGCCACAAGAACACATAGATGGGACAAAAAGACTCAAATGCTCCACCCCAAAAGTCACTTTTCCAGAAAGTGAGTGACACCACTACTGCAAAGGCCACAAAGGTTCCCAAGCAACTGGGACAGACTAGGACTCAGTGACACTGGCGTTGAGAACAAGGGCAGTGATCCTGGTACAGGGCCACAGTGGAGAAAGGTAGCATGATGCACCATTGCAGGCATTTAATTCACAGGCAGGGAGACAGGCTTGGGGCTCGCGCTGGAGGAGGAATGTCAGGCAGCAGTGGGAGGGGCCTGTCCACAAGTGGCAAAGCAACCCCTGCTTCTAGCACCCTGGGTTCAGCTGGCCCCTCAGCCAGTGGTCAAAGTCACCTGGGTTTTTACTTTAGAGGTAACATAAGTAGAGAAAAGCACCACCAGAAGGAAGATGCAGCTACATCCCCTCCACACACACCCTATGACAGACCCAACCAGCACTGGGTTTCCTTCTTTCCAAATCCAACCTCTGTAAGCCCCAGTCAGCAGCTAGGGGGGTTTTCAGGGACTCTGCTGGGCTCCGGCAGGTGGGGGAAATGGGAGCTCAGCTCGGTCCTGCAGGATATCACGTGCAACTGCTGTGAACTGGGCCCAGCAGCGGTGCACCTGTCACCCAGGAGTTGACAGGCGCACCGCAGTGGCCAGCTGCCAATCCCACACACAAAAAACAGCAGAGAAGGAAGAGCACAGCCGTGGTTTCAGGGGGTCCCATGTTCTCTTATGTAACACATCTGGAGGCTGAGAGAAGTAGCTCAGTGAAGGGCTCCCTCAGCCAAGCCCCTCATCTCTGCAGTGGGGAGATGGGGAGAAGCCTGAGACCTCAGGATCTGTGCGGAGCCTGCCTCCTGAACACCTCTAAATTAACCCCATGAGAGCCTGTGTCAGCCACCAGCATGCAGAACACAGAAGACAGACTTGGCTGCTGGTGTCTCCTTGCAGGCTGCCAGAGGTGAGGCTGGGGCCTCAAGAGAGAGGGCTCACCTCAATTTCGGCTGGTGCAGGCTCCTTGCTGAAGCACATATTCATGATATTTCTTGCTGTTCGATAAAAAGTTGTTAGGGAAACAGACCTTCCCTGAAACAAAAGACAAAGAAAAAAGCTTAAGTCACAAGCTAGGCCACATACTTGTTGCATGCCTCTGCCTGATGGCTTCCCCGTGGCTGTCTGAAATGTAGTGTCCCTACCTAATTACAAGGAGACAGGACAGGAAAGCCTCTCTCAGATAAGGTACTCGGAATCCCCAAGGCCATGAAATGCAGAGGGATGGATGTTCCACAGGTCATGCAAGGACCAATTTGATTTGATTTGATTTCTGCCACCAAGAGAGCTGCCAAGTCCCGAGGGCACTAGCAAAGCACTAACTGAACAGGAAGCTCCAAGAGATGCTTCCAAAGCCCCTTGCAGTTCTCCAGAAATCCACAGGTAGTGCACCCAGATACAGGAAGCATGGAGGGCCTGGCTCTGCAGCTAGGACAAGACGCACGCACAGCAGAGCAGATCAGAAGGCAGTGTCTATGCCCTGACAGCCCTCACCATGTGAAGCTGTACAAACAAGCAGCCCTTACCCAAAGCTGTAAATTGGTCACCCATGCCACAGAAGCCACATGCAGACTATTCTTTGCCCCACAGGGGCCACATGTGTCACCCCAGCCCTAGTAACTCTAAAATGGCTCTGACACAACAGCCAGCGATGGCTGGGCATATGGAGCTTTGCCTGCTCTGACCGGTCATGCAGAAGGTGATTGGTGTCCAAAGGCAAAAGCCGTGTGGCCTTCTCTCTGCTCGATTCTTGATCACACACACTTAAAATTCCTTGATCCAGAAATAAACAGAGTGCTTGCCATCTCCTAGGCCTAATCTGGGGTTGAGGCAGAGCCGGAACAAGGCAGACATCAGCTCCGGCCCCATAGATGTGTGTGTGTGTGTGTGTGTGTGTGCAGGACTTGGGACTTAGCCATGGGGGCTGGAGTAGGGAGGCCTCAGTGAGGCCTGGCCAGCACCTCCGCCAGGCACTCTTAAAAGCACAGGCACACCTCAGCGGGCCTCATTTTTTAACAAATGATGCACAACGGAGTAAGTGGAAGTGATGGACACCAGCACTGACAGTCAGCCCCAAGATGGTGGCAGGCTTTGTGCATCTCGGCAGAGCTCTGTTTTTTGACAATGTAACCTAATGTATCTTTAACCAAATGGGCTTTTTCCAACAGTAATTATAGCAAAACTGTTCCCTGGACCAACATATTCTCACAGCGCTGGCCTTCAGTCAAAGGGAAAGCACCCTATGCTGATGACAGCCAGCTGTCTACTGACCAGTTTGCAGTGAGGACAGCTGGAGGGAGATACTCAGGAAACACCACATTGAAGCGCTCATAAAAACATTTCAGAAGTCACAACCGAGTTGGTCACAATCTGTGCTCCTGTGTAACCATGAGGTAACTCAACAGTGGGGAGGGTGCCTGGCCAAAGGACCCTACTTTTACCAGTTAGCAGCAGAAAACTCTATAGGCAAACCACATACTGTCTAAATCACATACTGTCTTCCAGAGACAAAAGCATCGAGCCTGAAGCCAACACAATAAAAAGCCTGAAGAATGCCTGGCCTCCGAGAGGGAGGGCAGAACCCCACTGAGACAAATGCTGTCCACACCCATCCACAGCTTACAGGGGCCAGGCTAGGCTGCAGACCTGGAGACACTCATCGTGGGGTGAGTGGGGTGCAGGGATCTCAGACACGGCGGGGCTCCTGTAAGTGTACCAGGCCAGAAAAACTCCCAGGCAATGCCTCCTTCAGGGGAACCCAGAGCCAGGGCCGCTAGGGCAAGTGTTTGCCAGGACATCGTATAAAGTCACACCAAGCATGTCCCCAAGGGAGGGTGGCAGCCCTAAGCCTTGCGAGAGAAGCTGCTCTCAAGGGCCTCCTGTCTCCACTACAGTGAATGGCAAGGTCCGCAGTGACAGCTTTCTCAGGCATAGTTCGCACAAGAAATGCACAGCCTGCACGCATAGGCGGAGGCGGCACACCCTGACGGCCCATGAGGGCAGTGTTCAAAGTGGCAGGCACAGAACTGGGGTTGGAAACACAGCTACACATGCACCCAAGCTACTTCACTTCTGCTACAGTGCATGTACAAGCACACAAACACATATACCAAAAGAGAGGAAAGCCAAGGCCCAGAGACACACCACGCTCACACAGCTGCCAGACACCTGGGGCTGCATGGCTGAGCAGTGGACAGCTCAGCCCACATGCCCCACCACCAGCCCCTCTATGACAAATGGACCTTCCAGACAGCTTGCTGGGGAGTCCGCTGCTGTGAATGTATACAGGACATGGTGAATGATTAAATTTTTAAAAAGAAAAAGACTTGTACCAGTAAAAGACATGTTAGCAAGAACAACACTGGAAACGAGAAGAATGCTCAGGAAGATTGATATATCTTCTACTATAATTTTTTTTTAACATTTAAAAATCTGTTATATATTTTATCAAACTATTAGATGCCCTTCAAAATCCACATTGAAATGTGGCCACTCTGAGCCACATTTCTGAGGGTGTCTCAACTTTGCTTCCTCTGTGAGACTGGAGCAAAAAAAGACCCTTGCCAACTCTGGTGCCTATGTGTGGAATGTGCCAGCTACAGGACTGCAGGCCAGGTACTTCCACGCTGGGCACTGCGGGGCCGACACAGCTTTCCACCAGGCCTCGTGAGCCCTGCAGACCCGCGGGGCCCTACCTTGTAGATGCACTTGTGGAAGTCATTGAGGACACCTTTGTCCTCCTCCTCCTCCTCCTTGACCACCTCCTTTTCCTGAGCGAAGAGTCGCCGGCGGCCCGTTTTGAGTGGAGCCTGGCCCACCTCCTTGAGCTTGCTCCGGAAGCCGTTGCGGGGTGCCACGCCATGGATGAGCCCATTCTTGGGCTCAAAGCGGGGCAGGGGGTGGAACTTGTGGTGGTCGCTCTCGGTGTGGCCCTCCAATGGCCCCTTGCGCTTCTCCAGGATCTCCTTCTCCATCAACACCTCCTTTTCCAGCCGCCGGTGCTCCTCGGGGGACAAGGAGTCATAGGAGAGCAGGTACTGGCAGTAGGCCTCCTGCAGCTTGGCCAGCCGGTCCTGGGCAGTTTTAGGGATGCGCAACATGTCTGCTAGTTTGTTCCATTTTTTGAGGTCAGTCACTTGCTGCATGCCGCCCATCTCATTAATCAGCCGGAAAAAGCAGGCCAGGTCAAGCTCACAGCCTCCTGGGACAGTATGGGAGAGAAACAGGTGGTAGTAAGGAGACCAGGAACAAAACCATCCCGGTCCCACCTGATTTCTTGAGCACCTACTGCACTCCAGGGATCGTGTGGGCTCCAGGACGAGAGCAGCAAGAGCGAGCTTACGGTCTCGGGGGAAGAATGCTATTCAGTGATGGTCATAGGGAGTCCTAAGGACAGAGACGACCAGGTGACCAACACCACGGCAGTGTCAGGGAAGGCAGCTGGGGTGGTGAGATGGCCAGGGGACTGCATGCAAGGAAGGAGAGTCACTGTGCAAGGTTGCAGAAAGAAATACCTCAGCATTCTAAGCCGTGGGTGAGGTGGGGCCCAGTGCCAGCCACTGTCACCAGCTAGGTGGCAGGAAAAGGAGAGACGGCAGAGATTCACACAGGTGTAAAAGTGGCCTGGGCAGAACTTCCCGGCATCATCCACAACCCAGCACGGCCTGGAGTAGCTCCTCGTACAGAATTGCCTGTATAGCTACTGTGGCCAGGTCAAGTCCCCATTCTAATGTATACTCAACCACATGAAGAGGATTCTGTCTTCAATAGGCTCCCACGACAAAGGGCACAAGGCACCTTCTCCTGGAGGGCTTGCTCATCTCAGAAAAGTATGCTGCAATTTCACTAATCCTTCACCAAATCAGAGATGTACATCAAAAACTCAACCACGCTGAAACACAACCTTCTAATTCCATCAAAATCAAGGTGGAAAAGCAACTTCCCCTGTGCCAAATCTTTCCAAATGACCATTAACAAAATGCTCAGTGGCAAAGTAAAACTAAGAACATCTTAACTCTTTTGAAGAAGAGAATGTATTTCCTTGTTTTAGTCCTCAGAGGTATAATGGAAGGGAAGAATGAACCAATGAAGAGCAAACACAGTATGAGAGAGTGGAGCATTCCGGTCTCTGCACGCTACTGCCCTTGCATAACCTTGCCTGGCAAGTGGCTGCAGGGAGCACCTGGGACAGATACTTGAACAAGTCTCTGGCCCATCAGTAAGACAGGGAATCAGGACTGTGCAGCCTGAACTCCATTTAATTTACCTAGCAGGCTGGGAGCCGATGGGGCGGGCTTCCCATCACTGAAGAACTCTTCCCAGCCTCAGACGGAGATCTGAGGGCCAGGACGCTACAACTCCCTAGAGGCCTTGAGGACACTGCCAGATATGACCAAGGTGGGTCCCTCTAAAGCTCAGGGCTCTCGCTCTGCAGATTGGCCATCCGCAGTCTTGTGTTACAGAGGCAGCAAGGAAATGGGTCCCCATGTGTCCCCAAGGGGCTCAGTACTAGAATAAAAAGACGACTCTGGGGTCTCTATAAGCCAGTCAATACAGACCAAAACCCCAGCCAGACAACAACTGCAAAAAAAAAAGAAAGAAAAAAGGAGGAAAAAAAAAAAAGCCCTCCACAGGCTGCAATCATAGTCACAAGGCTGCTGAGGGCAGAAAGCCCCTATCACACATTCCTCACTCACCCAGGTCCCCTGAGAAGAGGCTTCCAGAGGGCTGGGCTGGGGTTCACATGAGCTACAAGAGGTAAAAGGTATACCCACCATAAAGGATGCTGGTTACTGGTCAGCTGGGGTCAGACTCTGAGGCCTGCCTGGCTTGAAGGACTGAGCTCTTGCAGACTAACAGGTAGGTACTTAGGGGTTATGCAAAGGATGCACTCACTGGGCAGAGGATGTAGCTTGGTGGTACAATGCCTGCCTGGCAAGTGCAAGGTCCCGAGTTCAATTCCTAGTGCCCATACCATGCTGTGCTATTAGCTCAGCTTCTGATCACCAAAAGAAATGATGATTAAAGAAAACACTAACAGAACACACCACCTCTGGACTGCCATCACACTGTCACCTGTTCCCACACCATGTGCTGCCTGTCTAGCAGAGAACATAAGCACTCCCCTATAGGCAGGACTCTGCAGGCCACCTGCCATGCCTGTAGCCTGAGTGCTCATAGTCTGTCAATGGCAAATATTCCTGTGTCTGCAGACACTGTATTTCTGGGACTATCCATCCCATGACCTCCCTTGACAGCAGACCAGAAACCAAAAATTCCAATCAACTGACAGTCATTCAGGCATGTGTCCACAGAGAGGAGTGATGAGGCCTCCCCCTGCCTACGCCTGCCACATGAGTGACTGCTAGACCTCTTCCTACCTATAGACTGGCCACATCCTATTCCACCCCAGCCTACAGGTGCAGGAATGCTTCCCAACTGTCCCTACACACCCCAGCCCTGGACACAAGCCACTCCATCTTCCCTAAAGAAGTCCATCCTGGGGGCCGGGGAGATGGCTCAGTGGAATAGGCGCTTCTCTGGCAAGTGCAAGGGCCTGAGTTCAGTCCCTGGTTCCGCCAAAAAAAAAAAAAAAAAAAAAGATTAGTTTTGGGGCCGGGGAGATGGCTCAGTGGAAGAAGCGCTTCCCTGGCAAGCACAAGGGCCTGAGTTCAATCCCCGGTTCCACAAAAAAAAAAAAGTCCATCCTGGAGGAGGATGAAGTACAGGAAAATGACCTTTCCCGTGCAGTCACTACAGGCTTCCCAGATGAGCTGGACACCAGTCCCAGCTAGCACTGCACCTGCTCACTCTATAAAGATGAACAAACAGGTGCTCCAGGAGAAACGAGAAGATGGAGAGAAAAAACGAGAAGGGCGAACAACAGCCGATGCCTACAAGGATGGTGGCTGAACTGTGAACCCCCACATCAGGATGGAGTCTGATGCCCTGAAACCTCAAGATGCAATGAAATTTAGGAGCAGCATCTTCAAGGCAGTTAGTTGTTTAGAAGTAAGTTTACCTTGGTGGCTTCATCCGCTCTCCCCGGTGTCCTCACAAGGAGATCAGGACACAAACACATCAGCTGATACAATACACAGCCAGGTGGCACCCAGAACAGGCCGTAGCAGATACCGCCCTGCTGACCCTGGACCCTGCCGCATTTAGAGCTCTCAGAACCATGAACACCTCTCAGGCCCATAAGCTGGCCCATGTGGTGCCATGGCATGGGAAGCATGGGCGATGACTCAGCTGGTTGGCACTCCCTTCTGCCTCCTAGGAGCCTGCTCCCTGGGAGAGAATGAGGTCCCAAGTGTGTGGCAAGAGCCACCAATACCAACACCCTTCCTGCCATATACACCTGGGTCTGTGAGACAGCAGCACTGGGCTACGCCCCTCTTACCCAGCCTTACCAATGAGTGGGAGCTCGTCCATGGTGATGCCCTGAGATCTGAGGTGCTTCTTGATGCAGGCCAACCGCTGCACGTTGGGGCCCCAGCGCCGGCCCAGCTTGTGGATGTGCTGAATCTGTGTGACGAACCGCATCTCATCATTGAGCTTGCACTCGGGCCGCCAGTCCGGAGGGGGGATCACCCTGCACATCCCGTACTTCTCCACCTGAGCACGGACCGACTCGATGTAGATGAGCGGATCATGGAACTCCTTGGCAGAGGGCCTGAGGACAGGGATCTCGTCCATCGCCGCCCACCCAGACTTGCCGCCCCCCTTCTCCGGCTTGCCTGGTGGTAGGTCATGCGGCTTATTGTGCAAGGGCTCCGGTTGCGAGGTAGATCGATTTTCACAGGAGGCGCTGTCCGGCTTGCTGTGTGCTTGTTTGCCTGGCGTGCTCTTACCAGCCGTGGCCCGTTTCGGCCGGTTCCTTTCCAGACTCCGCTCGGGCACTTCCTTCTTCACAGGTCCATTCAGCAGAGGCTTCTCTGCTGAGGCCACCACAGCTGCTGCTGCCTTCTTGCTGGGGGCCTCGATAGGGCCAGCCGCCCCCTTCATCTTCTTGGGGGGCGACTGTGGCTTCTCGGCCTGGTGCACCTCTTCCAGCCTCCTCTTGGAATTCCGTAGCCCCTCCCTCAGCTGCCGCCCCCCCACCTCCTTAGTGCATGACTTTGGGTTCAACCTGCCGCTCACCTTGAGGCTGCTGCTGGCAGGCCCGGTGGACTTGGACGCCCCCCCGAGGGATAGCACCTGTTTGCGGGTTTTTGCATTGCTACTTTCAGTTTTCCCTGAGATTGTGTGGTTGACAGCTGAACTGGGCTTGTGGTGATTAGGTTTGGTTTCCTTGACCAGTTCTCTCTTGGCTTTGGTGTATGTTACAGTCCCCTTGGTCACCGTGGCAGTGTACTTCACAGTTTTGGATGGTGAAGGTCTAACTTCGCGAATCTTTTTGGCACTGGCTGCACCTGCACCCAGAGATGACATTCGTGTGACTCCATTTACCTTAGACACCTATGGAAGCAGAGAAAAAGCAGAATTAGTATCTGTGCCAGGCCCGCAACCAGCCTACAGAAGCCATGGGCCACGGGTGCTGTGGCCGACAGAACTGCTTACAGCCTGACGCCCCTCCTCAGAAGAGACCCAGGGACGTTCGCGGAACGAGGTGGAAGCCACACCAACGATAGCTCCGTGACACACAGGTCCGAGCCACACAGCCCAGCCCTGCTGCCCAGGCTCCACAGGTTCCCAGGTCAGCGCTCATCCATGCAACCCTGCAGGAACCAGTGGGGCTTCACAGAGGGAGCCCCACAGCCCTCGTGCCATCTGTTTATAAGCAGGCAGCAGGTCCTGCCCACAGAGTAGACCAGGATGTATTTTTACATTTTCAAATACAGAAATACACATCCCAGTCCAAGAAAAGTCTGTCTGCTATTCTCTGTGCTCCACATAGCGGCATGACCAGCCCACAGAACTGAAAAAAGCAATGTGGCTAAAAAAAGAACATGACAAACATAGCATGGAAGGAAAAGAACAACAGTGTCCATGTGGTCTGGCTCTGATCCACAGGCGAGGCCCAGAGGTGTGGCTGCCAACTGTGTAGAACTGCCCAGTGTGTCAGGCTCTGTCATGGCTGCAGAGCTGCCCTAACTCTGGGGGTGCAGGCGAGACCTCTTTTGCACATGAGGCTCCACCTTCTCTACCTTGACAACTCTCACTCCTGGGTCTACAAGACTGGGCAAACCTAGGCAGCACAGTCCCTGGGCAATTCCATGACAAAGGAGCAAACTGCTTTTACATGGCGTTTCAGGGAAGGGCACTGGCTTCTAGCAGGACAGTGAGGGCTCCACACACAGGGGCTGTCAGCTTACCAGCTGCAGTGAAAGCCTTCACACTAGAGCTCTGCTGTTACAGACGTGTAACTTAGCCTCATGGGCATCCCTTTCCCTCCTTAGCATGACTAAAACCATGATGGTTAGAAGAGCCCACCTAAAACCACACCATTACTGGTAAACACAGAGCACAGACACAGTGCTCCCTCGCCTGGGGACCTAAGAAGCATAGGGCCAGGAGGAAGCCTATGCCTCCTGCTCATGCAGGTCCATACCAGTGCCTAGGCTGTGCACACTGCCCTCGCCACCATGAAGGCAGTCACCAAGCAGTGAACCTGTGTCTTAGTGACCTGCGTGGCTCAGCCTTTGCAGTACTGGACTCACGAAGAATATGTACAACTACCTTAAATAAGAATGGAAGACAGGCTCCATCCTGCAGGCCTGCCAGGGAGCAGAGCTGCTAGTCTGAGTCCATGCTTTGAGAATTATGGCACAGAATACTGGTAAAGGTTTCAAAACAAAAAAAGAAGGAAAGCAGCAAAAACTGTATTCCTATATATCCCACAAGTTACCTTTAGCCCAACCACCACCACACACTTGTTGTGATACCATCTCTCACAGCCAACCCCAGGCTGGTGCTGCTGAGCCATCTGAGCTACCAGGGGGCCAAAGTACAGGCTCTGGCATCACATTTTGGGCTTCCAACCACCAGCCACTCTACGAAGGAAGGAGGGCTACGGGCAGGGTCTAAAATAAATCCTGGAAAACAGGATGGGGCACCACTGCAAAAGAAGCCTGACAAAGCCGGGCAGGGAAAAGGGAGAAAGCGTTCTGTGCAACCGCACTGCTCTGGGAGAGGGCTGCACAGACACACTTTTCAGCCTTTCCCTTTCTACCAAGCGAATGAAAAGGAACAAGATAAAACACTTAAACAAAAGTACAGGGCCAGCATCTAAAGCACCTGCTTAGGCAAACTTAGGCAATGGAAGAGACCACGGTTCAATCCCCAGCACCACATGCTACACTAGCCCTGCCCCAGGGTAGGCTGAGACGGCCACAAAAAAAAAAAGAAAGAAAGAAGAAGAACATTTGAAAGTACAGTACACCCTGGCTTCTCCAGCCTGTTCTTCCAGAATTGGGCACAATAGGGGAAGGTGCCCAGGACCTCTGGCACCTGATCTCAGAAGGACTCTCTACGTCCCTAAATGGAGGACGACCCCACACCCCTGCCCTCTGAATCACACAAGGACTGTCGCTTAGCCGTATACCAGCTCACCTGGATTTGGACTGAACAGGCAGCCACCCACATCCTGAAGACCAAGAGCTATTGGCAACAGCCAACGACTGCAGGTATGTGCCCACACGAGCCACTTCTCCAACAGCAGTCCTGCCGTTTGTCCAGCTGTCCTCAGTGCTTCTCGAACCTGGAACCACCAACCTCCCTGGGTAAGCTTCTACACCTACCCTCACAGATCAGACTTAATTCATGAGGACAAACAAAGGGATATGTGCCAAACAAACATAGGTATGTGCCAGCCCCCCTGAGTAGCTCAGGGCTCTCACAATCAGGTGGGCCCACCCCTCTGTGCAGCTCTGAAGAGGAAGGGCTGGCTGGACAGCTAAGGTTCAGTGTCCTCCCATCCCACCTCCAGTAAGGGCACAGGCCAGTGGAGCCTGAGTCCAAATTCAGGTGAGCCGGTGGGGGCAATATCCTACATGGTGGAATGTTACATATAGGTAAATCACTTTCTTCAGTAAAGTCACACAAAAGATGACAACCAGGAGAGGTATTCAACTAAGGTGTTCCATCCGAAAATGTTACTCTGTTACCTCTTTCTTACTGTTCAGTTGCTATCTTGGAAAGTAGCCACTGAAAAATGATTATGTATGTCTATAAAACAAGCACAAACACTGCATGCACCTCCATCAAAAACCAGCACACCTTGCCTACGGTGTCTGCCCAACTCTCGTGCTTAGAGGTGGGTATGTAGGTCCTAAACGTAACACTTGTCAGCAGACTCAACCCATGGCTGAGTCCAGAGCTGAATGTGCTATTGGGGCTGGGGTATAGAGGGAAGAGGTGGTGGGTCACCAAAGTGGCCTGGAAGTGTGCTCTTGCCCTTGGTCCTTCCACTCTCTCCTCCTGGCCGACATGGACCAGGCACCTTTCCTCCCATGGGCCCACCCACTTGTCTTGGAGCCAGGCAACCATGTAATAAACCCTCTAAACCCACTGAGTCTCTCGTTCTTTAAGTCGTGTGTGGCGGGTGTTTGGTCCCAGGGATGATGGAGCTGACATAGTTACTCATTTATGCATTCCCTCTAAGCCCATGCAGAGTGTCTGTGGGGTTCCCTCCTGCAGAGGCCACCATGAGGCCAAGAGAACACAGGAACAATTCTGTTCCGTACAGATTGCATCAACCCAGCCAAGTTCACAACTGCCCCCAAAGCCCAGGACGTTCCTGAGGACACAATGACACCCGCAACTTCCTTAGCCCTTGCAGTCTACCAAGAGCTAGAGTTTCACCAGCCACAAAAAAACTGTCTCACCCTCACTTATCCTCTAAAGTACTTCCTGGTCAGCAAAGTCCTGCTGGCTTTGTGTTTCAGAATCCCCAGCACGCCCGTCACAAACTCAACACACCACAGGGATGCCAGGCACAGAGGGCATGTCCAGCTAACAGCAACACAGAGCTCACCTCAATTCATTGGAAACAGCACACGGTGGCCTACAGCAGGGTCCTCTAATAACCATCAAAACACTTTGACTAAACAGCTTCCTGAGCTGGATGTGTTGGTGTACGCCTGTATTCCCACTGGGGCAGCCGAGGTAGAAGCACTGCTGTGAGTTCCAGGCCAGACTGTGCTACACAGTGAGTCAAGGCCTGAATTACAAAGCAAGACACTGCCTTAAAAGAATCAAAATAAACTTCCTCTGTCTTGGCTGCGGTATGGTTCTGCTTGCCTTCATGACCACAGATACCTACCTTTCACTTATGTCTCTGGTGACTCACGCACAGCACCATGTTTCTTGAGAGCAACAACAAAATTTCAATTTAAGAGGGGGAGGAATTTTCAAGTTGCACTGAACTCGCCTAGGACTTTAGCCTCAAAGAAAAGCAATTTTTCTTGCAGAAGCAATGTAATGTGAGGTGAGGAAGAGGAAAGCCTGGGACACAAAGCTTTTCTATGTCTTAGCAGAAACTCCACTTTAAAAACTATACACAATCTGCACTGTGATCATATGTGTAATAAGATATGTGATCCATCCTTAAGAGTTCCACTCCACATCATGACTCAGAGCAGGGGAGATAGCTCAATAGAATAAGTGCCTGCCTGGCAAGAGCAAGATCCTGAGTTCAATCCCCGGTACTGCAAAAACAAAAAACAAAACACTTCATGACTCAGAGACAGAATGCTTACGCCAACTCTTAGAATGATAAGTGAATAGGAAAAACATGCATTTCCAAGGCATAATTAAAGATGAAAAATGAAGTTATGGTATTTTGATGAACTAAAATGACAATTTCCAGTAACATGGTCCTCAGTTCAACGAAGCACTCTATTGTCAAGCTATTAATCCCCACTAGAGGGAGGCATTGAGCTGGAGACCTTGGCCACCCTCTCAAAGGGGTCATTAGAGGGGCAGGAGCCACAGAGAAAACATCCGGAGGCACTATGTGCACTAAAGCTCTACCAATAGTCCAAAGAGCCTGAACTGAACCGACCCACAACAGATAGGCCATGAGGTAGAAGACAGGAAGGAAAGCACACAGTGCCCATGGCAGCGAGGCCTCCTGAAAGGATCCTGATCTGCCATCTCTACAAGATATATATCTATCTGAAAGGCTACCTGCAGGGTTCAGAAAGACTATAACCCACATGTGGGAGAGTCCAGCTTCAGCCTAATCCTGGGAGAAGCAAAATAAGACCTTAAGTGTCTCCCCATACACATGAATTTCACTTTCCAGAGCATGTTTCCAATTGCAATTTCCGTGTGCTCCCAATTCTCGGGCACTCTCCGATTCTTACAAGGCTGGGGCTACTCTGCAACTCATGGACAGTTTCACAGGAAACCTCTTCCTATGTACCAGCATACGGCCCACTGCACAAGAGCCTGCCTGTTGCGGCTGCCCCAGCACACACTCACTCTCTCCTCGGCACAGCCCAGCCTTAGTGAAGAAATGAGAACCTCGGGCTACCATGATCTGCACAGCCTGACACTCCCTGCTGACTTTCTGACTACAGCAGTCCCTTGCTGTTTTGCAGTTTGACCTCCGTGAGTGCACTAGTTTGTGGGATTTCAAAAACTATTAGTCTAAATATATTGCAGATTTTTCATTATAGTGCAGGATTTTGCTGTCCCATACAAGCATACTTATCCCAGGGGTGTCTGGAATGTAACCAAAGCGCTAAGTGAGGGACTACTATAAATTAACTCCCACTACACAAAACCCTACCCCAACCCTTGCTAGGGAAAAAAAGCCCTTTGTTTTCCAAACCTAAACTGTTAAGTACCTGTTAGCACGTTTAAATGGGGCATTACTTCAGGAAAACAAAAGACATGACACGCCTGCTACACATCCAAATGAGTGCAGTGCAGCCAGGGGTTGCGGTGTGGAGGCACACGCACTGGCTGGCACAGGAGGCCCCCAGTGCCGAGAGAAGGCACACACCCATGTGCTCAAAGTCTTGGGAGCTGCCCTGTGAACCCATGCACAGTGCTAGTCATATGGTGAGGGGAGCTATGTGTGATGGTCAGTGAGCCGTGGGCACGAAGGGTGTTAGAACATGCAGGATAAGTTGCTTCCCACTGTAGCCGTTATAACACTACATGTCCTACAATCACATTTACCCTTTCCTTTTAGGAAGAAATAAAACAAATCTATAATCTGAAATGAAAAATGAGAGCACCCCTTGGGCCTGTATCCTTTATGCAGCTGCAAAGATGAAAAGTCAAGAGTCTGAAAATTTATATCAAGCAGTCACAAAAGAATCTACACTTTGCTTTTATTGACCTTGTTTCCCGAGTACTTAACTAATGAGCTTCTGATGGCTTCAAAATTATCCTTTCATTTCTCATAATGTCCATAGGAGAGGAGCTGGCATGATTGGATCTTGAAGAATGAGGTCCGGTGAAATATTGAAATACCGTACCATGAGTCTCAAGAAAGGTCAGAGTTGAGCAAAATTACAAGTAGGACACTAGGCCGTGCTGTCCAGGCTGCACAGGCCCAGGGAGGAACAGATGCAAGATCCTTTCCATATTGGCAGGGTCACTCCCTCCATCCCGACCAGGGATGCAGGCTGAGACCCCACAACCATTCTCTATGGTGTCAGCAGCAGCCCTGTAAGAGGAAGCTCAAGGTTCACCTGAGGTGTCAGGTGAACGGGTCACAGGTACATGACATGGGAACAGCAGCATGGCACCCCCAGGGATGGCAGCTGGCTACCCACTTCTGCCCAGTGTGTGGACAGAGATACAGCTCGGTGTAAAGGCTCTGGGTTCAAGGGGGAGTTGGGGGGGGGGGATGTCTTAGAAAATGGGACAGTTGAGGCGGTGCTTATAAACAATAATCATCTGTCCATCTCGACTTCTCTGGTCCCTTTTTAATACAAAGTCATCTGGAGGCATTTTGCCCCAGTTCCAGTCAAGGGCACAGCAGTGACAGTGGGGTGGTGGAGACACATTACAGACACTGAGCCAAAGGTAGGATACTCCCAACTCTGTGTCTCAGAGAACTGCACACACCTGGGGGCCAATTCCATGATCGGTTATCACCTGTGGGAAATGAGGAGGCAGGGTGGTTTGTATTCTGGAAGCCATGAACACCATTTGAATTGGGCTCTAGTTACATGTTCAGACCCAACACTTCAGAAGAGCACTGTGTGGGCTCTGCAGAGCCCAATCACTCATAGGCCACTAGTAAGGACTGAGGACAGGACCACAAGGTACCAGCAAGACACCATGGTCCTGCAACAGCCCCACCCTGTCCTTTCCCACCTGCATCACTGTCTCCACCCCTCACCTGCCAGGGTCACAAACAGCCACTACCCAGCAACATGAGTGTCTTCCTTGCTGCAGTGGCCAGTCCCACGCCCTTCCTCAGAGCTGCCCACCTAGTTAGTAGTATGGCTCTGGGTTGAGGACTGGGTATCCTGGGGATGAGCCCATACACCTGGTACTGAGGTGGGCTAGTGCCCCGTTGACCTCAGATACCTGCAGGCCTGTTGTAGAGCCCAAGATAATGACAGCAAACCTCAGAGCTTTCAATAATACAGAGCTTGCTGCAGCATACATGCCACGGTTTTGCCAACAGTGGGCCAACCTGTGTCCCAACAAACTGTGCATCAGCTAGCATTGAGGAAGGGCAGGCAGGAGGGGAGAGGGACAGTGAACAAACCAAGCTCCATTTCTACTTTCCATTTCATGAGATGACCAACTAGGACCACTGGTGAGGAACACAAAGCTGCCCAGCACCAAGCTGTGGCGGTCTCCAAGACAAGGGACACTTTTGTACAAGCCTGCTCTCTCTCTTCATCAGGGCCTTGCTCTAGGATCCCCAAGGCTGCTGCATTCCTGGATGAATGTGGGGAGGTGGGTTCCCAAACCACTGGGCTGGGTATTACCTGCTTCCGTAAGTCCTGAGCCGACCGATGCACAGGAGGATGGTGGTGGCTGCTAGCAAGTCCCTTGGTTGAGGAGCTCAAGGAGGGGGCTGCCACAGGCTGCGCAGCTGAGGCCTGCTCCCTCCGGCTATCAGCCCTGTGATCGCTGTGCTTCTCCTTCGCGGGAGTGACCTCTTTGCTTTTGTGTTTCTGAACAGGTTCTTTCTCCCGTGTTGACCTGCTGGAGCCATTGAAAACTACAAAAGGAGGAGAGAGAAGAGTGAGGTTACCACCTTAAGCAGACAACCACTAGACCACGTGAGTCTCTGCTTTCGGAAATGTCCAGAGTGGCAACTTCTCAAGACAGAAAACCAAGAAGGCATGATGGCGCCTGCCTGTAATCCCAGCCCTCAGGAAGCCAAGGCAGGAACAATGCTGAGCTTGAGGCCAGCCTGGGCTACAGAGTAAGAGCCACATTTCAATCCCACCCCTACCCTGGTCAGTCCCCAAAACATAGCAAAAATAGTAAATACATGACAAAACTATAACAAAAAATTCTAAATGAGAACAAATAGTACAGAACCAAAACTGAGAAAGGGGACTGGGGGTAGCACTAAGAGAAAAAAAAAATCACACCATTATTATGTACATGTACCCACTCTCCTTAAGGAGTAAACTGCATCTGTTACAAACATGTAACAGATGTACTAATACTAAACACGACAAACCCCTATATATGCTCTAAGAATGATTTGCTACAGCTGGAACAATGGACTAATTAATTTGTAAAAAAAATTCCTCCAGTTGGGTACAGTGGCACACGATTATAATCTCAGCATTTGGGAAGTTAAGACAAGACAACTGCCATAGGTTCAAGCACAGCTTGGGCTATGTGGCAAATCCTATTTCCCAAACACAAAATAAATTAAATATACCTGGGCCTAGGGATACAGCTCAGTGACAAGAGTGCTTACTCAGCAAGCATGATATTTGATCCCTGGTCACAGGGGTAAGGGTGGGGGTGGTTATGTTACACCATATTAAGTCCCCAGCATCCCACAAAATATCAACACTGTACCATAAGAAACAGAAACTAAACTTGAAAACCACAAATATAATAGAGCAATGCCTCGGTTGTCCATGACTGGTTGCAAAACCAACAGGTCAAATGTCCCCATAAGGGCAACGCTGAACCTATCCAAAGAATTTGATTCAGTTCTCGGCCAATTGGGGTTACAACTGGATTCAAACACAGGACTGAGTCTGTACCCCACTGTACTTTGATGAACCAGCCCTAGCCTACTACATGTGCTGGCTTAGCAACCTTCTCTGTAACACTGTTAGGCAAGCCTAGGACAAGGTAAAATTTAAAGACTTCAAGTGCTGTAAAATCTGGAAATCCAGGTTAAGCAACTGAGGTACAGGACAGGACCCCTGGAAGACACACAGGAGATCTACAAACACAAGGCTTCCCTCAGATTTAAGCGCACTCCGGGGCAGAGCACAGCTCTGTGGCACAGAGCCTGCTTGGCAACTGTGAGGCTTCACAGAGGGTATGCGCCAAAGGGTCCAGAATGCAGCTGTTTCCCAAGACTTCCAGTCCACATAGAAGGAAGAAAGCAGAGGTGCTTTCATGACAGAAGCAGCGTTCGGTCATGTGTTTACCACTCCCAGCCTGGTTCACACTTAATGGTAACAGGCTCGTTGAGAGCCAGTTGAGTTGCATTCAAGCCTGGATGCAGAATCACCACCCCCTCTGACATTCACAAGAAGTGAGCCCTTGGCCAGATCCTGTCCTAAGTGCCAAACAGGACCAACCCCTTCCCAGGCCACCCTCATCTTCTCCTAAGGCCTAAGTGGCTTCCAATGTGCCTCTTTTCATGTCCTAAATAAGCTTTCCATTTGCTTCTCTGGAAGGCACAGATGCCCTCTTCTTTCAAACCCTTTATTCTAGCAAGGGCACCTGGACCTGGATGCTATTGCCAGAGCAGCGTAGGGAAGCCCTGGCGAGTGCTTTAGCTGCTACTTACAAAGGCTGTTGGTGAGCAATGAGAGCCCATGTCCACAAACCCAGGGCCTCCCCATTCCCAACAGGACTCAAGGCTTCAGGGAGAATGCAAGGCCCAAAAAGGCAGTGGAAAGCCCTCCTCCATGTGTGTAAACTGCAAAGTCAGTCTGCTCCTACCAGGCCAGACAACTGAAAAACAGTTCTTTCCCATACTGGAGCAACAGCTCTAACACTCATCTTTAACTATAATTTATGCCCGGTAAGTTACAAATGTTTTATTTGTCTTATTGCTCCTATACTGTTTATGGCACTAAATCTACTAGGTTTTTTTGGTGTGTAAGGAGGGGAATACTGGGGCTTGAATCGGCACCTTTGAACTGAGCTACATACCTAGCCTGTTTTGCATTTTGAGGTGTGGTCTTACTAAGATGCCAACTTGTCCAGGGTCCACCTCAGCCTCCCAGAGTGCTAGTATTAAAGGCATACACCACACTGCACTGTTAAACCATTTTTAAAAGTTCCTTTTCATTCTTATACATATAAAGTCCTTCCATGTTTTTCCTTCCCACCTAAAAAGTACAGCTATATATATTTATGGTTTATGATATTTTCATGTACATGAAACGATCACATACAGCTGCTTTCCATATTTCTATTACCTTAAAACATACTTGAGATGTATTTCTTCTAAGCAATTTTAAAAAGAATATAGAATGTTATTAACTATATTCATACTGCACAATCCATCTCCAGATCTCAATCTTCCTAACAGACTTGACAACTTTTTTTTTTAAATTTTTTTTTTGGGTGTGTGTGTGTGTGTGTGTGTGTGGCCAGCTAAGCCCACCAGGGGGAGGGGGAGGGGCGGGCTGGCATGTGGTGCTGGGGGATTGAACCGCGGTCCCTGTGCTTTGCTAAGCTTGTTCTAAGTAGGTGCTTTAGACTACTGAGCCATCTCACCAGCCCAAGACTCTACAACTTTTGACTAATATCTCCCAATTCTCCCGCCATATTTTCAAAGGGTAAAATGAATTCAAGCTTCTAACATTTTTCTAATTGCTTACATTGAATTTAGTCTACCTGATGCTGTTGAGCATTTGGCATAAGACAAATGTACATATTATGTATCTACATTGGGCAGGAGCCTTGATCTCAAGGCACCCTCCAGCACCAGAGATCATAAATTCAAAACTGATTTTAAATACAGATTACCAGATTTTGATTAAATATCAAAATACAGGACACAGCCCTCTGCTGCACAAGGCTCTGCTAGATACTGAATACAGAGAAAATATCTTCAAATGGTGGTATTTATTATTCCAAGTGAAATGAACTAGGAGATGTCAGGAACCACTGATCACGACGGCACTGCAGTGTCTGTGCTTGCTCTGTAGATAAATGAAAACAGCAACCCTAAGAAGTCACACTTCAATCTGATTGTAATTTGGGCAGGTACATGAATCCATGAAATGCTCAACTCTCACCAATTTTCTAAGACAGTGAACATAGCTACTTTAAACACAGCATAGTCTCCAATATTCTAAATTTCTATTCTGACTAAGATACTGTATGTACTTCATGGTGCAGCAGTTCTACTGTGAGTTCTTTTTTTTCGGTACTTTACAGTATCCTATGGGTTTGCTCCCTTTGGTAACAGTATTACTGGCTGCTCAATTCCTAGTATGGGGTGATCAAACTCAAGAGGCTGGCACACACTGCAAGTGCTATACCACTAGCCCAGCTACCTACTAATAGTTTTTGCTGCCAATTATAAAATTCATACACTTCTGGGAGGCCTGCCGCTTAGCTCAGTTCTTTAAGTGGCTGCTTCAACAAAGCAGTCAGGCTCCGGTTGCTGTGGTTCGATCCCCACAACTCAAGCCAGCCAAACCTGCCCTGAAGGCATTTGGAGCAAGCAAAAAAAAAATCATACACTTCAGGCAAAAAATTAAAAATCTAGGAGTCTGTCTCTGTCAGCGAGAATTTGATAGCTGCCCAGTATTCAACTTTTGTGATACATGAAGACACAGAATTGTTACATGAAAAGAAGTGTCTTAGGGCTTAAACTTAAGAGTAAGGAAAATAACGGTTTGTGGTGGTGTCCAAATCATTACTGCGAGCATGAGATGTATTTTTGAGCAGGTAAAGATTGCCCCTAAGGTGACCAACCTGCCCCTTTTACTCTGAAAAAGCAGACTGGTCTGACTGCTCTACTAAGGGAGCAGTTGGTTACTTAGCTGTAGGTCACAGTTCACAGGTCACAGGTCAGTTAGTTCCCTCAGTGATGGGACAGAAAGTCAGGGATGTGTGCAGTGAGCCATGTGCTGGGCACCCTGTGTGCTAGGCACCTTCTGTGGACCACCTCAGCCTGCAGCCTTGAGTACACTGTTACGTAAGGGGTGAATTAAGACTTATTTAACTGGGTCACAAATAAAAAGCAAGAAAAAAAGAAAAGTGTTGATAACTGGAAAACCAGCACTGACATCAAATGGGCCATCACTTGAGTGACCAGTACAAGATGTTAAACAATGCATGAGTGAAAAATCCATTCACAGGGAATGGACCAATGGAATTTAGTATTTGTTAGTAGCGCACAAGAGGTGACTGATAGGATTTCAAATTTCTACAGCAACTGGCTTTTAAGAACTCACTCAAGCCTCCATGTGCTATCAGAGAAGAACATCTCTACAGAGCCCCCTCCCTTTTCTATTTTATATATTTGCCTGGCAAAAATTGTCTTCATGTACAGTACTGCAACTAAGTCTCCAGTTTATAAGAAACTGAGGAAACAATCTGGCTTTCTTCTATTAAGCCAAGAACCTAAAGAGATATGCAAAATTGTGAAATAATGCAATTTTTTTCACTAATTTCTTAGTTTCACAGTATGATAATCTCATTTAAAATGCTGTGTTAAAAAAATGCTGTGTTAACATGTCTTGGTTTTATATAGTTTCAAAGGAGTATTTTAAGACTTCATTTTCACATGATAAATATCTTTTTTTAAAAAACAATAAATACTGATAAACACCTTTTTTTTTTTTTTTTTTTTTTTTAAAGCAGCCTGGGAGCTCCACTCTCCATTGTTTATAATATAAGAACAGGGAACCTGAATCCAAGTATCTGAAGCCACCTGCTGGACTGTCCATCTTACCCAGAGTGACTTCCGGTCAGTTTGCCACACCTGGTTCAGATGTTCATCACAAAGCCTTGTACTTCCCCGAAGAGCTCCGATTTGGGTGAAGCTAATTT